CACTAGGCACTATAGAATTTTAAACCAAAAGATGAAACATGACAGTCTTGCACCATTTTGAAAAAAAAAAGAAAGAATGTATTTCAAATTCCGAAATTCACACTACACCCGCCCAGCTGCGTTTTGCGCGACATCTCACAGAAATTATAACAAAACGTGAAAATAATTATGAATTGGATGCGTCTTCCCTGGCCTCCAGTCAGAATTTGAATGACCTGGGGACCGATACCTGTTGGCTGCAGCGTTTGTAATTGGCAGATGTAACGAATATTAATGAACTGAATTAGCATGGATCAGTTAGCTAAGCTTCTGGTCAGGGTAAAAATGACCATGTGGTAGAAACGCCCACTTGACTTGAATAATAAAAAGAATTAAATTCATTAACATACTTGAAGGGTACGTACATGTAGGTCCTATTGAAAAAAAAATGTGGGGAAAAAGTTTTTAAAATGACTGTCGAAGGTTTAGCCTATATCGCTTAAAATTATTTTATAAAAAAAAGTATTTTACTTTTTTATTATTCTTTAGTTGATAGGCCTACCAGTACTACATGTCATTCTTAAAAATAATAAATGCCTGTGCATACCATACATTTATTTAGCATTGTCCCGTCGTCTGTCATGTCCCATCTGTCACAACATTAATGAGCCTGGTGTTTTACTTAATAGTGGGCTCATTAATGAGCCCGGTACTAAGTAAAGTGTTCACTGATTATTGGCATAACAGTGATTAACTTTTAAAGAAAAAAAAATGTTAAATTTCCCAGGGCAACAGATACCCGGTAGCTTTCTCCGATGAAAGTCGTTTTTAAAATATGGAGTGTAATTTCCGTCCCGTCAGTCACGCTGAAATTACGTTTTTCACTATACAGCCACTGAATAGTTTCGTGGATTGTTTTTGAATTTGAAATAGAGTGTTTACTTTGACTTAGTACATCACCTAGATGGTTACACCTTACACATTGGTCGTGGCAGGCCTGTCCCGTCTGTCATGCCGGTGTAGCATGAATTTAGGTTTTATGAAATACGGACTCATTGGTGGTATTGCGCATGCTCATGCATAGATAATTAGGAGAGGGACCGGTCACATGAGAGGGTTTAACCAATAAAAGGGCCAAAGAGTCCAATTTTCATACGAGTCCGATTTTCATATGACACCGGAATTGACCTACTGCAGATTTCAACTGAGTAAAAAGAAACATCTGGTACCAAGTCTCAATTTCTACACATAATTTCCATAGTTGTGTCACCAGACTACTGGTCATTATCTTCTCAAAAACTTGGACACGTACAACGGAGTACCGACATGAACACGTCACGCACACAAAATGTGTGTGAAAGACATTTAAGCGCGTGATTCAGCCCGTGAACCAACACACGCGCTTACTCCATTCGTTTGCACTACACTTTCTGGTTCTTAAAGATGTCACACTTAATAGGTACTCCATGCATGTACTGTATGCATGTGCCAGTCTAGTCTTAAACTTCAAATTGAAATCACTTGGCTTCACGCTCAGGTGCAAAATGTTAAAGAAAAATCTCCTATAAAAATTAAAATTGAGACCTCAAGCTTGGCTGGTGAAATACTGAGGACCTTGTCTTTGCCTCACAAAAATTTTGGAGAGTTTTGTTGGTTAAAAGAGTGAGTAAAGATGGCCTGATTTTGTTCAGCATGTTTGTCTGCTCTCAAGGTCCCAGTCTGGCCACAGTCTAATCATCCAGGAAAGTCCCATTTACCGGTAGCCTTGAATGCAAGGCTGTGTGGTGTGCTGGGTGCAATACTGGCAATAGCTTTACCAGGCTTACCATACCTTGTGCTGTGATGCATGTGTATAGGGCACAGTTTGTTATTGGTGTAAATCCAGGACACCATTGGTGAATCAAGGACGACCTCGATTAGAAAACATGTACAAAACCAATGAGAGCTGTTGCCAAAAAGTACATTTACACACAATGGAAAAGGGAAGAGGAACAAAAGAAAATCCTCGCTATATTACAAAATCTATGGGAGTTTTCCTAAAAAGTTAGAGTACAAACAAAAGAGGGACAATAGGACATCCATGATCGACGGTGAACACACGTTTGTGTGTGTGTGTGTGTGTGTTGGGAGGGGGGGGAACACATTTACCTAGGTGGATCTGTCCCCCTCCAGGTGAATAAGTTCCCCGCCCAACGTTGAATGTGTAGAAAATCACTATTTTCCTGCGCGGTTTGTGCCTTGCGATTCAGCACGCCATGCGTGCTCACAGTACATCGCGCGGTGATCGCCATTTTTATTTTCGGGTCGCGTGTTGTCGCCATGCTGTCATCGTCATTTTACCCCAAATTTCCCTCAAAAAACCAAAACCCTGCCCTCTATCTATGACATACCTATTTATTGAGAATGTCACAAACTAGTTTGGTAGGTCCAATAATTTCAAAGTGGATTTTGTTCCCTTATAGGAACCGGGCCCTACACTACACGATCACCGATTGAAGTTGCGCTATCCGTTGAGTGTATGTTGCAGCTAGCCATCTTAATCAGGTCACGTAAGAATCAACACTCGCATCATTGGTGGCGCTCAAAAAGACATTTACAGCGGTGACAACACCAAATACATGTACATGATGTATAGCGAATCTGTCAGTGTCAATCATTTTGGGTTTAAAGGTCATCAGGTCAATGAATGAATTGGCTGACAACTTTAAGTGGGCAGGGCTGAGAGTTGATCCAATTCTGACCAACAGAGGATGCGCTGCTGTGGCAATTTTCGACCACCGTGCTTGGTGTATATTCGTCATATCAAATCCTTTGTGGTCAAAAGGACCCCATGTAAACTTGCCAAAGCGCACAGCCAGATGACCTTGGACACACAGAGATAAGAGCTCCCGGGCTCTGTGTATATACAGTAGCACTGCCTAGCACGTGTAAAATAAACAGACCCTACGCGCTGAGCCATTGAGCAACGGCAAATTTTATTGGAGTTTAGATGTACAATTCTTTAGTAAATGAATACACGCGAGCCTAAACCTTAACCAATCACAATAAGGGTTATATTGTTGGAAAGCTGACGAGACAAAGAAAAATGACTCGAGAGATCTAAGCTCCCAGGTGGCGCTATTTAACATTATGATGATGTTAATGGACCAGTTCTTGGCAAAACGCGTGGTTTACACACAAAACAGAGAGATTTTTGACTAAAAATGCAATGTTTAACATCAATACGCGAGTGAAACTCAGTGTTTTATTCAGTTTTTCTTTCATTTTCTGAAAGAGTATATTGTTAGGGTCACACTGTAGTGAGATCTAAGGTATACCCTGTAGAATAATGAAGTGGTGGCGACAGATGTCAAAAAAGGCCTGTTTTTAATGATTTTTCGCCGTGTTCTCTCATAGAGGTTGCACATAAAAACCGGCCCGGTGGGTTAGTTCCCCAAAGGAATTCATATGTTAGCACTGGTGCTTGCACGTACGTTGAGTGAATTCCTCCTGCACAATAGCGACAACTAATTAAAATGGTCAGAGGTCATACATCGTGACCATAAATACTGCATGGCCTGGTAAGGAAAGAATTCCATATACGCCACGCCACTTGACACTCTGTGTACAAACCAAGACTGGCCTGAAAAGTTTTAAGTGTTTTTAAACTACATTGTAATGCTTCCCTGCTAATTTTCACTTTTTAGGACATGTTATCCCTTTCTGGTGGTACCCCTAGAACTATGGGTATTACATACATGTGTAATTCCCATTCTAGTGTAGGCCTACTCTGGTGGTTGATGTCAATGATATTATGAGTCGTCATTGGCATATGCATTGCCCATGTTGCCTGCACTTTGCAGGGAAACCTAGCCCAGGTTGGACGAAGTCTGCATTGCATTACATATTAACGTCCAGGGTGAGAATTCTCTACATAAGACCACCCAAAATTTGGACCAGATTTTTGTTACGTTTTACCTCATTACAGAAGCTTATTTCACGCCTACATTTTCTATGTGTCCTTACCTATCCGGTTCGTTAGTGAAAACGTCATACACACGCGCGCAGCACTCATGATTACTGGCGCCCATTGGCTACAAGCGCTCGAGCTGCGTTAACTTCCGGTTGCAATCATGCAGAAAGTGCTGGAGGTGACGTCACACTAACGAACCGGATTGGGCCGCTGGGTTCAGGAATTCCATATGTGATGCTGACCGACATTAATCAGGAAAATAAACTCTATTGCAGCGTTAAACTTGAACGTGTTTGTAGTCTCTTTTCATCAGTTTATTCCCAGAGTCGTACGTCATGTACAATGTACATGCAAACGAAAGCGCGCACGCACGCTAGCGCCCTCATTTGTTTAGTTTTGGTTGGAACCGTGACGTCACTCCAGCCAACTGATGTCACGAAAACGCTCAACCAATGACCAAAGCCGAAACGTGTTTCTGGTAAAACACGCTCGGTCATTGGATTAGCGACCGCGCCTTCAAGTAAGTGCGCGTGCGTATGAGGATGGTTACTAAGCAAATCGCGCGTGCGCACTGCATATTCATGCTGCATAGTCTGGCCCCTGGACCAGACGTGATATGAGCGTCGAGAATGATTGTCCGGTCTAGGGAACCAGACTACACGCTGCACAGACGTACATCATGTACGACTAGAATAGACTCGGCGGTGAGAAACTGATAAAGAGTCTACAAACACGTACAAGTTTAACGATGCTTTCGAGTGTATTTGCCAGATTAAGGTCGGTCAGCATCGCAAATGGAATTTCTGAACCCAGCGGCCCAATAGATAAGGACACATAGAATACTACGACGTACAAATTTGCTTCTCCAACAAGGTAAAAATATAAACAATATTCGTCAGAAATTTTTTCGCCAGGTTTTGAGCACTTCATACCCTGGACTCCCTCCGTTACGTAGGGAGGAAAGGGAGTCCACCTGGGCTACAGGGAAACCGTACGTGGTCATTGGGGTGTATTGAATTCTTTCCACATTCTTTCCAACTTCAAAACATAACCAACAAATGAGACTAACCTGGTTGCCATCATGCTCTTTTTTGTTTTCTTGGGACGGACGCCCCTCGTCCAGAACGTCTATGTTGCCCATTGCCAGTGACTGCAGCGCAGCAGAAGTGGATTGAACAGGGGGCCTACCCTCGACGTGAAGTCGTCGTACCGGTACCGCTACCGGCAGGCGATACGTAAAAAGCAGGCTACAAATTCTCAGGTCGTAGTGACACTGTCAAAATGTCATTGTTGAATCCGATCCTTGCTCTATGGTTGAATGAATGAATACAGAAATCAGAACTGAGCGATGAGCTTTACCAAAAACCCTCCATTGATGCTTATCCAGGTCGCGTCGAGGGCATTGACAACAGCTACGAGGTCAAGTCGGGTCTGTATATCGTATGTGTGCTCAACGTACTGTGTAATTAATACAGCACCGCTAGCGCGCGCTAAAGGTATTGTCAAGAGAGGGCGCTATAATGCACTGCTAGTCGGCGACTCGACTCGAAAAGACACCGAACCCGTATTCGTATTCCGGAATGACAATTGACATGATTAATGATAACTACCGGTACATGTACATGTCATGCATGTAAAGGACTGTTACTGTTAGTGGGTACAAAAACCGTAACAATTTGAGAGGCAGATAATCAGGTAGAGGCTTCAGGTATGTGTCGTGTTATCGTCAGACCCCCAAAAGCTACGCGGTCCTTTTTCTACGCAAGGCTTCATTCCCTTCAATTTGTGTGTGACAACGCGCGCGCGTATGCAAGCGTTACCTGCGCAGATAATGGAGGGTTGAGGATTAAACTAGTCAGCCATTATCAGAAAGTGATATTAGCCCAACCTCGTCCCCAGGGTGTCGCGCAGTACGCGCCCACCACTACCTGCTCTCTCACCCTGGTATTGGATCATTTGCATGTGCAAGATTTTTGCACACGTATGCAAATGAGGAACAGTCTGGTGCCTGGATATGCGTTACACATTAGCGTTTGTTTTTGTATGCGGTGTCTGGGGTAAAAACAGAGTCAATTTGTCGCAGCGCGAGCACGGCGTGAGTTACGAATACACGATTTTTGAAATCAAACTGTTACGATCTTATCGAGACAACATGCAGTATCATATTTCATATTAATATGAGCAAATTGGAAAGGAAATTAGTATTTTCGAGAAGGCGTGGACGAATGATCGCGAAAACACGTACTGCACGTTGTGAATATATAGCACCAAGTACACGATAAAAATCCATTACTAGCCAATTGCGGTATCCAATCAGGATACAGGAAGAAAGTTTCCTATCCAGGGTTTACTATTGGAAACACGGTTGGAAATTAAGTAAGCACTGGGGACGAGGTTGATATTAGCCCTATAAAAGTGGCGATCGTGAAGTGTAGGGCCCGGTTCCTATACATGCTATAACTTAGTATAAGGTAGCTGGAGTTACCCAGCCCTGAGTTTTATCATTGGGTTGTCATCTAAACTCAGGGCTGGGTAACTCCAGCTAAGTATACTATAAGGGAACAAAATCCACTTTAAAATTATAGGACCTAGCCTAGGGCCTACAACATGGCTAGGCTACCAAACTGTACTAGTTACTAGTTAGTAGTTGGCGACATTCTCAATAAACAGGTATGTCATGACATAGCCTAGATAGAGGGCAGGGTTTTGATTTTTGAGGGAAATTTGGGGGTAAAATGACGATGACAGCGCGGTGACAACACGCTACCCGAAAATCATGAAAATAAAGATAGCGATCACCGCGCGATGTACCGTGAGCACGCACGGCGCGCTGAATCACAATCGTGTTGCCAAAATGTGGACACGCTGGGGTAAGTGAACCTGCAAGAGCTTGCCGAGTTCGAGGCTGATTGATTTCCATGAAAAACAAAAATGTTCAGTTACTTCTCGCTGTGAAGGAAGTATGGCCGCTAGCGCATGAGTCTACTCTAGTGCGTGCGTGGCCATAGTTTGGGTAGTACTAGTACTAGGTTAAGTCTAGTCGTGCTACATGTAGTTACTCGGACGTGCGTGGACTAGATGCTCTAGGCCTTGACTGATGACTATATTTGTTGGAATGATTGTGTATTTTGCTGTCACAGTCGCAGACAGTGTCAGTGCTGAACATGACAGCAATGGTCACATGGTGTAGTCCACTAGGCACTAACAAAGAGCAACATTATGACTCGCGTTACGTCGACAATACTCGCAAACGGGTACAAGTCCAGGTTAGCATCTTTGTACTAGACGGCGGTGTTCTGTATTTGAACTTTTGAAGTTCTCAATAAAGGTCCCGGTACATACCATGGGAAGTTTACTGAATTTTAGGCATTGGGTCTGTGTTGCATATCGTACGGTAGTATGCAGGGATTCACATGCTTTAGTACAAAACATATTCCAAAAGCACAATGTTGACCAAATGAATTTGATCTCATTACAGACGGACATCTCTAGAATTGGACATGGCGACTGCCCCAAGTTCCGGCACCAGTTCAAGCGCAGGCACCTCAGGGTCCTCCACCCCTACCCCTAAAGACGTCCTCACCAATGGCGATGTCAAGACGGCAGGCGATTCCTTGGAAGATCTCTTAAATCAGATTGAGGACTACGCCCCAACAGTAAGTCTCCATCACCAGGTCAATGTTCAGTTTTGCCTTCTTCCACTTATTTCCCTAGTCTGTGGAATATCCCCTGGCCTTGCACAGCAAGGGTCTATGTCTATGCGAGCAGATTCGGCGATAAATTGTGCAAATTAAGACTGTGTCTCATATGAGTAACCGTCAGGCTCCGTTGGATTTAGCAGGGTAGTCCTTGGGAACTAGGACATTTATGACCATCCTTTCAAGTTTGACGGATGTCGTGCTTAAAACCCCTGTGACCTGTAGAGCCTATATGAGCCAGAGCTGTTAAGCAACAAAAATTTACTAACCCCAAAAGTTTTGATTCCAAGCCTGATGAGCGATATTGGGTGATTTTGTTTGCTAAATTCTGTAGTAAAATTGTTTTGAGAGAAAGCTTTTTCATTGATTTTCATTGACATCCACTTCAAGACAGGCATGTTGAAAGCGGGAAACAGAATTTTTGTTTTGTGAACACGTTTGTACGGTTGGAACAGAATTTCTGATTTCCTGAAATGGAAATAAAAATGGGGGGGGGGGGGGAAGGAATGGAAAGTCAGTTGCATCTCCACCAGTGTTTGTATAAGTTGATGAATATTTTTTATGCATGTTATCCACAGATCCCAGATGCTGTGACAAGTTTCTACCTGAACAGGGCCGGCTTTGAAGCCTCTGACCCTAGAGTGTATGTAGAAACCCACCTCATATAGTAGTCTTGGTATAAGCACGGATCCTCTACACAAGGATAAATGACTTCCCCAAATTTCTGGTTAGAGGCTTGATATGTCACTTGCGCCTCGTGCGTGCGTAGGTGCGAGACTCAGCGCGCGACTGCAGTCTTTCAGTGGTCAAATTTCTGTCAGGACGCCAGCTGTCGGCGATCGTGGCGCACATGCATTGTTTATCATGTTCTATGCGCGGACGCAGCATATCACGCATGTAGACAAACCGTCCCGTACATTTTGTACACAAGCCCAGATGAGTCATTTATCCTTGTGTAGAGGATCCGTGGTCTAAAACTGAATTCGACTAACATGCTGACAAGCCCACGCTGCAGGCTAGTAGCGGGACATTATCAACAAGATGAATCAGATCCAACCTGGGGAATTTTAACACTCGAGCTCAGCAGATTGTGAGTGTACAACAGGCCTGATATTTTCAAGCTGAGGCGCTTGCATGACGTATCCTCAGAATTTCATGAGACCAAGTGCCATATTTCCTAAGAGTTGATTTGATTCGTCCAGAGCCTGGATTCAGCATAGCTTGACTGCACTAGGGAACGAATGCATTTACCCTAACCCCCATTGGGTATTCGTCAAGTACCCTACTAAAATGCAACAGTATCCAACACAACTGAAATGAGAACCCTGCTAAATGCAACAAACTGCAACATTGGACTCCGTTGCATTGTGCAGTGAACCCAGTAAACACCAGCTTTGACATCAAGCAGTTACCCTGCTAAATGCAACAAGATGCGACAAAGCACGGGGACTTGAGTTGCCTGCTAAATGCAACAGTATGCAACAACTTTTTACCTTTGTTGCTTTCTGTTGCATTTAGTAGGGTTAGAGGAATCCTGTCTTGGACCAAGACTTAGGGCTTTAACCCTAACCCTTAGTGCAACAGAAAGCAACAAAGGTTAAAAGTTGTTGCATACTGTATTACTGTTGCATTTAGCAGCCAACTTAAGTCCCTGTGCTTGTTGCATCTTGTTGCATTTAGCAGGGTAACTGCTCATAGTGCCAAGGCTGGTATGCACTGGGTTCACTGCACAATGCAACAGAATCCACTGTTGCAATTTTGTTGCATTTAGCAGAGTAACTGCTTGGTGCCAAGGCTGGTATGCACTTGGTTCACTGCACAACGCAACAGAATGCACTGTTGCAATTTTGTTGCATTTAGCAGGGTCCTTATTTCAGCCAAGTTGCATTTTGTTGCATTTGGCAGGGTACCTAGAGAAAACCTGTTGGAGGTTAGGGACAATGCAACCAGTGTTATAGTCGAGCCCATCGCAAGTTGGGTTACGAGCAAATCACAAGTCAATTCACAAGTCCAGTCACAAGTGACAGCGGATGGACACTAACAAAAGGACTGCGTTTGTCACAGTTGATTTGACCGACTTGTGACTTGACTTAGATCTGGATGACTTGTGATGGACTCACCAGTCAATGCACGCAACATTCAGTGTTCTGTTTTCCTCTGTCTGGCCCTGCAGGACCCGTGTCATATCTCTGGCAGCCCAGAAGTTCATCTCGGACATTGCCAACGATGCCCTCCAGCACTGCAAGATGAGAGGATCGGGCCAGAGCTCCAAGAAGGTCGGCAAGGTAGGTTCACCCCACTAACTCCGTAAATTCTTAAACCCTGACCCTGCTGGACGCAGCACATACAGTGCAAGGGATGTGGAAGTTTGTGGGACCTTCATCATGGCTAGGGCTGTGAACGGGTAGTCGAGTCCCCGACCGCTGATGTCAGGAACCGGTTCCAGATTTATGGATCAGGTACCCATAAGCAACTTTACTAATTCCTCAGTAAGGCCAAAAAAAAAAAAAATAGTCGGTCTCTGGTCAGACCAAAGTCCCGGAATTGATGCGGTGACGCGTTTTTTGGGGGGGTTTTTTTGGCTTTTTTTTTTCAAGCTTGGATTGTATAGACAAGGTGAATACTATTTTTTTTGCTTTTTTATGTCCTCATATACATTGGTGTCCTCCATAATTTGCCTTTGTGCCCTCCATCATTTGCCTTGGTGCAATTTGCCCATTCCTTGGTACAAAAATTTGAGGAGGTGCGGCAATAGAGGGCGCTGTTGTAGCTAACGCGGACAATTTGAGGAAAAAAAGAGGTTGACGCGCATGATTAAAATCGACGCGCGCGCTGACCAGAGACCGACTATTTTATTTTTTTGGCCTAACAGACTTCTCAGAGACAATGAAAAAGAAAAGTTCAGAGACATCATTTGTGGGGAATTTTCGAAGTGAAACACAGGCTACGTGGAAAAACATAGCAGATGGCACGTTTAAGACACTCACGAAAGTTGCAGTTTTCAACATAAAGTTTTAAAGGTGGAGTCCATCATTTGTAATTTGTGCATTTTGTTGTGTTCGCAACAAAAGTGCTCAAAATCTAAAGAAGGTTGCCTAACAACTAACCTGATGAAATTGTAGCTCAGTGAATGCTGTATACTCCGCCCAGTACACGATCTGCCCAGTTTTAGTGACTCGAAACTTCTCCAGTGGTTCGAAACTTTCTGAATCTTCCAAAATGTAACTCTTGTTTACTGCTTGCAAGCCAATCATAATGTTAATTGGGTTTGTCACTGACAGGACAAGAGATACACCTTGACCATGGAGGACCTTACACCCGCCCTCACTGAGCACGGAATTAACGTCAAGAAGCCCTACTACTTCACGTAGCGTCAGACAGTTCAGACACTCCATGGTTTGTTTTATTTATTTATTTAGTTTTTAAAAGTTGAACACAGAAATTGTCTGGAGTGGGGTTTGAATTTGCAATCCCCGGATTGCCGTTCCGGTGCTCTACCAACTGAGCTATCCAGCCCTAAATTGGCAGTTCCCCAATTTGTCACTGTCTGTGTTCAGTAAAAAAAAAAAGAACTTTCAAAATGTAAGCACTGTGTCACTCTTTTTTTTAAATAATGACGTATATTATTCATGCCGACTTCCTATTTATATGTGTCAAGTTTGAAAGCATTTGAAATTAAAACAGAATTTTATGCAAAAATACTATTTTCGACCAAAAATGGGCAAAATAATGAAAAAAGGTTGTCATAAGGTTAATGTGCAATCTGGACCAATGTGAACAACCAGATTCAGATTCAGCACTATCGAATTAGTAAAGTTGACCTTATTGCAAGTTGACACCAGAAAGTTAAGACGAACCTCAACTTCTAGACCTGATACAGATTTTGGCCCATTGCCGATGGGTAATGGTCGGTAAATGACCAATGTCTTACTGTAAATTCACTCTAGGTAAATCCGTAGTACTTGCTTGCCACTTGCTGCATTTGAAAGGTTGAGACATTTATTTTTCACACGTTCAGGCTTCGGTAAGCTGTACAAGATCTCACCATGTGGTGAATTCAATGGAATGTCTAGTAATTGGTCAATCTGAGGAATAAGACTTAATTCCTGTTTCTTCTTGAAAGAGGGGGAAGTCAGTAAATTCCATTTCCGCGATTTTATTAATTATTCATTCAGAAGAAGACAGACAGAGGGTCACAAATAGGAAAACAACACATTTTTTATTGGTAGTTAAAATATTTACCGTTTACTGTATTTTTTCCCTAACTAGTATTACTTGTAAAGCTAAATTTGTGTGTCGTGTATCTCCTGTTCGTTTAAAAACAATTTTGTTTGTGTTGATTTGATATTCATGTAGCTTGGGATTCTCAGTGAAAATAAAACCACAATAAGAAGGAAGGCACAAATATTGGTCTGTTTAGTTTTTTTTATAGTTTTTTATTTTTTTTTATTTTAACTCCTGCAAAACAGTGACAGGAATAATGCACGAAGTAAAAGTAATGTGTTTTCTGTGAAATGTATATACTTTATCAGGTCAATTTACAATCATGTACATACCAGCAAAGTGCAAACAATATTTACAAATTAGTACTAATTCATTGAAACCCTTAAAAACCAAAACCACAGAACTTCAATTGCATATTTTCCTCCTAGAATCAAAATTTCAGCTCTGAAAATACAAATTTCAGCCAAAATAGTTTGAATATTTAAAAGGCACATTCTCTCATAAAATTTCCAGTTTCCTTCCAAGGCATCACCATTGCTACCGTTATGCAATATTGTAGCAATATTATACAACACATAAACAAATCCTTGCCATCTGATTGGTGAGTCGTTGATCACATGTCATAGAATTATGCGGCCAAACCCTCGGCCTGGCCGCAAATTTTTTTCTTCCAAACGACATCCGCATGCATGGTTGTTTAGTGCCCTCTATGATACTTTTATGATACGCATGCAGGTATATAATTATTTGTTTCCCCATGTTTTGTCGAGCAGTGCGACAGCTCAGTCGATAGGAGGTAGGATTTTGCACTGCGAGGTTACGGGTTCGATTCTCGGTTTTGCACCCAAATTTTTTTCCTTTTCTAATCTGAGGCTTTGGAGGATTTTTTTTAAAAGGGAAATAAAGTCCGAATTTTCTCGGTTTTGCACCCAAATTTTTTTCCTTTTCTAATCTGAGGCTTTGGAGGATTTTTTTTAAAAGGGAAATAAAGTCTGAATTTCATAACATTCAAATTCACTCTTTTTTCTAATATTATATTTTTTTCTCATGTTTTTATAAAAGTTAAGTCCAAAACGCCATAGCGTACACCCATATGTGGATGTCGTTTGGGAGAAAAAAATTTGCGGCCTGGCCATACCGCAAAAATAGCAGTTCCATTCCACGGTAAATAGAAGGTTTCATTGCAGAGTCACATGATTGCTTGGTGGCTCTGACCAATCAGATGACGAGGATTTAGTCAGGTGTTGTATTTAAACAAATAGTGAATGTTTCTCATTCGTGCAATGGAAAGAATAAGTTCATTCGGTGGCGGATGGAATGTTTCATTCTATGTATCACCTCATGAAACTATTCTTACCATTGCACTTATAAACCTTCGTTATTTGTGATGCGATCAAGCTAAATGAGTCGTTTGTCGGGAACTTTCATTTGGAGATTCAGGCCAAAATAGGGCCACTTCATCACATCACTTCATCACATCTCTTGGTGTTCTGACTTCCATAATTTTTTTAACTAAACATGGTACCAGCATGCGGTTTTCACAGCAGTAATGCTGAGATTGTGCTCTTTTCAAATCTGTAAAATAATTTTTTACCAAGGTCGACAAACGACTCATTTAGCTTGATCGCATCACATTTGTAAACTATCCTCTTATTTTCTTTCACAAAGACAAACAGTTTTTGGCAACTCGGCAGTGTAATAATTTCCTATTGTTTAAGGTTCCCAAGGAATGTTAAAACATTGCTCTGTTACAAAAAAAGCTGCATTCATGGAAAATGCACTGTGCTTTGTCAGTCACAACTTAAGCTTTCAGGAAAGGTCTCATGATCAAGTACATGTACTAAGGATGTGACTTTGCGTTTAATTTTGTAAACGTTTAGCAAATAATTTAAGAACCGTTTAAACGTTTAGCCATTCACAAAGGCTGATGCCTGCCCATTATGTCTGCAGATGGGCATGATTGACATGATAAATCAACAACTATCCACATAACAAATAGCGGGCAGCCATTGAAAAAGTAAAAACTGAACTACATGTACCACCAATGTAATCAAGTACTGCGCTACTTCTCAGGGTTTTTTTTAAATTATTTTTAAACAGGTTTGAAAACATCATGAATTTTTTGTACTTTGTATGTTTAACTCAAAGCAAGATCGCCGGAGCATACATGTAGATCTCCCATTTTTATAATTCTTGGTTCTTGGTTCTTGGTTGGTTCTTCTCCTAAATACTTCACGTGGGAGTTTATACAGGAGGCCAGAAACACCGGGGCAAACCCCTCCTTAGCGATAAGTGTTTACTGGGTTCTTTTACGTGCATTTATGCAACACACACGGGACCTACGGCTTAACGTCCCATCCGAAGGACGAAGCAATAATGGTTAAGTGCCTTGCTTAAGAGCACAAGTGTCCGCCGGCGGGCTCGAACCCACGTCACTGTTGCCTCTGAAACACCAGAACATGAGTCCGGTGCTCTTAACCGCTAGGCCATGACACTCCAATTCAGGTTTTTTGTTAAAAACATTTGGGAAATTGGTTAAGATTAAGAACCTCATTTTGTTTAAACATTTGCATGTGTAAACGTCACATCCTTATCAATTACATGTACAACATTGATACCAAATGAGAATGTATGCAGCATTGTGGGTTTTTTTTCAACACAGTGAATATCACAGCCTCTTATGCAGTGGTTCTTATTAAATAGACTTTTGCATTGCATTGCTGTAGTCAACTTCTGTGAATGTAGATAAATGCTAAAAAGTTACACTATCATTTTTGAAAAAAAAGTACAAAAGTACTAATAAGTGTTCAGCAGTTTGAATCGGCAGTGCAGCATATATCCGTAAGGGATACAAGTCCCAAGTGCTTGCATTTTCATTTAAAAAAAAAAAAATTCAAATTTCCATTCAACAGAAGTGATTGCAGTTTCCCATGGCATAATACTGCAGGTGGAATTTTCATCAATCCTTCGTTTAAATCTTTGAGCAAGGAATTAATTGCTGAAACAAGATGGAATTAATAATAATAATAATGATTTGGGAGGCTAATCATCCTTACTCGCAGCTGGTATGCTGAATTGCGAAGGACGCGGCTACAACGTGGTCGGGCCGCTGGCACATAAAGGCGCCTATGGCTGCCGGCCACATTGACCCATATATGACCTCGGAGCACAGCCTGAGATCGAAAGTGTTTGATTTTTCCGGAGGGAGGAAAACCGGAGGGCCCGGAGAAAAAGCCTCGTGGCACAGGAGAGAACCAACGCACAACTCTACTCACATACGATCCGCGGCCAGGATTCGAACCGTGGTCACCTTGGTGAGAGGTGAGCGCTTTACGCACAAGCCACCCATGCCACCCTTAAGCCAATTTAGTGTGGCATTCCAGTAGATATATCAGCTGAGCTGAGATGCACATCTGCTCGTCATATGCCAGGGATGTAGTCAAGTCCTTCACAAGTCCATCACAAGAAACATTGGAGGAACAATGCCATTATCACAGCTCATTTGAATAGCTTGTGATTTGAATTGGGACTGGAGGACTTGTGATGGACTTGCAGAGTTAGTACTGCTTCTGGAACTTCCATCAATCCTACATGTCCTAAGTGCTTCCGATTTTATGTTTCCTGTGGATTCAGTGTGGAATTTCCATTAATCTAGGTACATGTAGAACTTCCCATGGTTAAATACGTACAAGTACACAATGTAGGCCCTACTGCCTGGAAAATTTCCATCAATCCTTAGTGCTTCCATTTTTCTATGGTTTTTATGTTTCCTGTGGAATTCCCATCGATCTAAAGGTACTTCTTACAAGTACAACTTCCTGTGGTTAGATACTGCCCACTAGCCTGTGGAATTTCCATCAATCCTAAGTGCTTCCATTTTTTTATGGTTTTATGCTTCCTGTGGAATTTCCATCAATCTAAAGGTACTATAATTACACATACAACTTCCTGTGCTTAAATACCGCCTAGCCTGTGGGATTTCTATCAATCCTAAGTGCTTCCAATTTTCTATGGTTTGATGCTTCCTGTGGGATTTCCATCGATCTGAGGTACTTACACGTACAGCTTCCTATGGTTAAGTACTGCCCACTCGTCTGTGGAATTTCCATCAATCCTAAGTGCTTCCAATTTTCTATGGTTTTTATGCTTCCTGTGGAATTTTCATCGATCTAAAGGTACTAATTACACATACAACTTCCTGTGCTTAAATACCGCCTAGCCTGTGAAATTTCCATCAATCGTAAGTGCTTCCAATTTTCTATGGTTTGATGCTTCCTGTGGGATTTCCATCGATCTGAGGTACTTACACGTACAGCTTCCTATGGTTAAGTACTGCCCGGGAAATTTCCATCAATCTTAAGTGCTTACAACTTTACCCAAACCCAAGGGCTTGCAATTTCTAGCGGTTCAATATTTCCACCCATTTGGTGTATCTGCTGTCAGACTTGAAGGCCTCTCATCTCATGATGTTGTGCCGTTTTGCCAAGACGTGTCGCTAACACCCCTTTGAAAAAATAGCAATTAAAAGACATACCTTCAGAAAATAATTATGATAATAATTATAAAATGATAAAACTTACAGGGCAGTAAATCATTATGACCCCTGCTCATCATCGGCTGATGAAAATATTCCAAAGACCATATCAACTAAATCAAACTCGGAACCCAGAGCACATAAAGTATTCAATTGTGGCCCGCTCCACAAAAACAGGGAATTAAGTTGCGCTGTGTGTTACCGTGTAATGGCCCGCTCAATGTTGAGAGGGTTAAAATTTTGTCGAAATGTGATTTTCATTTTTTGTCATGAATGACATCTTTATTACCTAAAGTTTCAGGCTTCATTCACATAGGGGGTTTACGCCAAAATAAAAGGAGTATCTGCACAATAAAAAAAGAATTAAAATTGACTTTATGGTTTTGTCGTAATTCAAAAATAGTCAGACGGACACTTTTGGGGGACATACTGTATATTGCTTACTTACATGTACATGTACTTTGCTTCTTTCTTTTTAAGTATATATTGCTTACTTACATGTACTTTGCTTCTTTCTTTTTATATATTGCTTACTTACATGTACTTTGCTTCTTTCTTTTTAATTATATATTGCTTACTTACATGTACTTTGCTTCTTTCGTTTTAAGTATATATTGCTTACTTACATGTACTTTGCTTCTTTCTTTTTAATTATATATTGCTTACTTACATGTACTTTGCTTCTTTCTTTTTAAGCAGTTCCACCTTCCAGGGAGGCATGTCTCGATACTTCCTCTCCTCGGCTCTTTGTTGCTGAAGAAAAACCAGAAAAATGTATAAACTCAGAATGTTATAGGATCTCAAGGAATTTTTTGGGACAATTTTCCCACCTTATCGGCCTGCCGTATCTTTTCCTAGCTATGGCCCCACCAGAGGGCACTCACAACAGTTCAGAAAAGAACACAGTAGGCCTACAATCATTTCAGAACACCTTCTTTTCCAAGCGCAGTATGCCTGTGGAACACACTACCAGACTCAATTCGGGCGATTCACAATGCAGTGCGCCACCAAGAGTTTGCCATGGAGAGTCCATTTTTAAAGTTTACGGTCGACAAAACGTGGCCCATTTGAATGAGTGTCAGTAGACAACTTGAGCTAATTTGTTGTAGATTGGGGCATAAACATTCTGACCTTACAAAAAACCACCACATTGATAACAAGAAAAGAAAAGGACAAACAGATCCTCGAATCATGCGCTTACGAAACTACTGAACGGAAAAACAAACACTTTCAAATGTCCCGCGCTGCGAATTTGTCGACCATCTCCCACAATGCACTGGGAAAAATTGAACTCTCCCTGGCAAACTCTTGGTGGCGCACTGCATTGTGAATCGCCCGAATTGTATCTACCCCATCACTGGAGGACTTCCAGAGCCGGCTTTATCATCTGTCACTACCTTAATTCAGTGTGTCATTTATTTTGACTTGCCCTTCGTCACTACCTATTCAGCACTGTAATCTTTTCGTAAAATGTTGTTCCCGCATCACAACCTTTGCACCGCACATCCTTGCCTTTCCTTTGGAGCTATTTAGCTTCTAAGAGGGATATACTTAACAGCAGAGGGGAAACAAATTATGCCACAAAGCATTTGTTCTAAAAATGAGCTGAATTCATTGAAATATGCAGCGCAAATTTACATAAATGTACATACATGTACATGTACATGAATACTTGATCATAGTTTATGAACGCTGGTTCTGATGCCTCATTTATGTGAATGTAAACGTGATGCCGCAAAATATGTGCAGTAAAATTTGCTAGGGTTAAATTCCATGAAATTTGACGTGATAATTTGTGAACACTTTTTAAGATCACATTTCCTGAAGGCTGGTTTAACCTCAATATGATGAGAATTTGATGACACGAAACATTTGCTGTAAAATTTGCAAAAATAAATACTAACCACAAAACAACATATTTGCATTGACGATTTGAGTCCACTGGCACTATGTGTGATATACCAGCCTTCAAACAAGAGAAAATCTCAAGCCTTGTTGTGATTATTTGGCATTGCGTGAAAAGGGCAAAAGTTTTTAACTTTCTCACCTTTTGCTGTCTGTACTCCATTGCCGCCCGCTGGTTGGCCCTGTCGGCCTCCTTCTTGGCCAGGAAACGCCTCCTCCAGTCTGGTAGCTCCGCCCCACTCTCATCCACCAACGGGATGCTGTCCAGGAAATCCGCGGCGTAGAACACCCTGGGACCCTTGTCATTCACGGGGCTGGGGCTTCTTGGTGGGGGGTCCTTGTTAATCTAAAAGTAGAATATGGTAATCTTAAACTGTGCCAGTGCCCCTATAGGAAGTTTTTTTTAAAATTTTGAATAGAGTAGGATAACCTGTTATAAGATATGTGTTACTCTTATATGTAAGGCTTTCTGGCAAAATGAGACAGAAATGGGCACAGGCTGTAGTGGAGGAAAATAAAAAAAGGAATGGGGGTGATTATTTTTTTTTTCAGGAATGTAATCTTTGATATGTCTACTACACATATTTTAAAGAAATAGTTTAAAATCATGGAATAAAAGTGGTTGTTTTTTGAAGGAGAAACAAGTGGCATCTTTCGTTTACACGACTACAAAACTCAAGACTCAAAAGGCCTTTTTCTCTGTATTTCAAGTGGCATCTTTCGTTTTCACATCTACAAAACTCATAGACTCAAAAGGCCTTTTTCTCTGTATTTCTCTTTTTGACATGTTGATAAATGTGAACTTTAAACAGCCAGAACTTGTTCTCTTTCTCTTTTTATTCTCTTTCTACATGTTCTAGCTAAATGCCTGCAAATCCTCATTTTGACCTCTGCTCAGTTCTGTCTCATTTTACCAGAATGCCTCAAGTGTAAAAGATTAAACACACAGCGAAGTGTGATAAATAAAGTAACTTTTATGAGTTTGGTTGAATGCTAAGTACAATAGTTGCTCAGTTACCACAGTCAATTACATTAAAGGCCACTTTCTTGATAAATTTGCAATGTAAGTCAACTTTTACCAGAGCGATTCAGAAATGATGATATTAAGCCATAATTGATCACTCGCTTTAAACCAAAAACATCATAAAAAATGTGTCACTGCATAACTTTATGTTTTTTAAGTCGTGCAGTAGTGCCCAGTGCCCATTCACTAGTGAAATCTGGAGCACTACCAACCATTGTGATGATTTCAGATATTTTGTTACAAACAACCAGACTTCATACAATGGGCCTTATTCACAAGTCGGCCATATTGAATTGAAAGTTAGGTAAAATCTTAATTTTTTGACTGACTTGGGAAGAGAAATGAAAGCAACTTAATTCATAATCAATTCCAGTCTGCCTCAATAAATAATGTTAAATTTGTAATTAAACATTCCCTAATGTTTCAAGCCATATTTAAAAAAGAAAAAAATGACAGTGAAATAAGGCGGCATTGTGCCTGCATAAATAGTCTGGCGCCATCCCATTCAACAGTTAACAAGTAAAGTAATTCAGGGAGCTCGACAAAAATGGCCAACTCGTGAATAAGGCCCATCCGAGGACACAGTGAATAATTATGATCATTACTTGATCGCTTATTATCTCTACTATCAAATGAGTTAACATCCTTTCCATTAGTGCCGTAACAGGGAATTAAAGCCCGTCCCGTCTAGCCAGCAGCAGCCTTCCAAGCTCATCATCTAATTCATCCATCTGTCCTCCCGTTGACAACACATTCCCTTAGGAGGCAATGCGGGGAGGAAGAGCCATTCACTGATTCATAGGACTCTGGGGCCTCCAATCACTGCATGCAACCTCTAGACTGCTAGACTTGATTGATGTTAAAGCCAGAGGTTTTAGACTGTGCAGACAAGAGAAGTGTGCAAAATGTAACCTTCTAATAATCCCCCAAAACCAAGTTTATTGTGCAGTTCTTCAGTACCCGTCATATCTGTTGGACCTGATTGATTTCAAACCCAGAGTGTTTATTAGCAGTGATCAAACATTGCTGCTAAACATTGTTTAAATTCTTTAGATTTTTTTTTTCTTCTGCTTGTTTGATTTTAAAACTGTATGTTCTTATGAGATTGGCTATGAGTCGGGAAGATGTAATTTTTTTTATATATATCTGGTTTTGCCCAACTCAAACTGGCCAGCTGACCCCGGCAAGCTCAATGGTCGAGTGGTAAAGTCTAGCTGCATCAGTAAGCAGGTGGTGGTGGGTTCGAGTCCCACCCGAGTAAACTTGTAAATCTTTTCTTGCAAGCCTTCAGGCAACACTGAGGAGACGTACATCGGCGAAGGGCAAAACCCAATCTAAAATAACCTTATGTTTAGAACTATACAACTTAATTCACTCTCATACTGTGTTGAGTTTATATTTTTTTCACCTATCATTGTGAGACAAACTCGATCTGTTTCCACCTCCAGTAAGGTGAATTTCTATTATAGTCATGATTTTTAGGCCGAAATGTCAAGAGAGGTGTGGCTCAGCGAAATAGGTGTTGTGTTCAACTACTGTACGTGTAGATGTAGAGGGGCAGTGATCGTGACATCATTTGGGAATGAACAGATTCAGTGTGACGTGCTTGTCGTGGAAAAATGGTGCCATGCCAACACGTTGCCATGACTGGGCATAAAAAAATGTAATTTGTTTTTTGGAAAATCAGGATGTAGAGGGGCAAATCCAGAATTACATAAAGCCAGGGGGTGCATCCTTTCATGCTTTTATCACTAAGGAGTAAATTAGTTTCAGAATAACAAAATGTATTTTTTGTGTTTGCAGGATTGTAATAAAGTATGTGGAAAAGTTCTATTTTCAAATGCTTCCCCCCCCCCCACAAAAATTCCCCCTCAAAAAACCAACCTCCCCCACCCCAAACCCCCCCCCCCCAAAAAAAAAAAAAGGGGAAAAGGGGGTCAGGAAGACAAACTTCCCCTCCCCCGCCCAATCTAGTTATGTACGTGTGTGTCCATATAAAAAACAATTCTCAACACCTAGTAAAATCATTACAAATTTTAAAAAGAATAAAAGTAATGGCAACTGACATAACATCTGCATACAATTTTCAGTTTCACAAGGCTCAATCTGTTAATCATCACCGAGTATACCCTGAACATGTAATGTGCTCATTCAATCAGACATCGTCTGCCGCACATCAAGGAAAAACAAAAGAAACTGAAGAAAAAAAACAAGATTGAAAATTGAATTTGTATTACCCGGAGGAACCTTGATTGGTTTTGCCGTGCCTGCCTGAGCTGAGCCCCTGCTTGTATCTCTGCCAGCAAATCTGTGCCGAAGCCATTCAGCTTGCCACCCTTAGAGGAGTCTAGATCGAAAAAAGAAAGAAATGAGAAATGGCGAAAATGTCACAAACGGTTTAGTCAGCGAACTTGTCTATTTGAAGCGTATTTAGAATCCCATCAGAGTTAGCCTTCCTCCGAATGAAAATCAACAAAGTGAATCCTGATTGTTAGACTGGTTGTTGCTATGGTGATGCCCAGGAGCAAATTAAACTGCAAGGGGCCTTGGGATTTTTTTGAATGACAAGACGGGAAAAATCGCAGAATGACAAACCGTTCAGTACGCTAAGTTAAAATTATTTTGTGTTGTCTTTTCTGTCAAGAGATCTCACATTTTTTTGTGTGGATAGGATAGGATCTTAATCTAGTCCTTTTAATTGTTTGTTTCTTTCTTTCTTAGCTTTTCCAGAGATTTTGTACGCAATTCTCCAACATTATCTTTAATTTTGATTTAAAATTCAGCAAATTTTCGCCAATTTTTTGCCAAAAACGCTTTCTTTTTCTTCTAGAAATTTCCCCCAAAATGAATCAATGCAAATTTTGTTCACAATCTCCAAAGGCCTAAATTAATTACAAATACGAAAAATACTGTTATGAATTAAACAGCACTACACTTGTACACGTATAATATTTATATAATATTGGATGGTTTTGAGGGGGGTAACAAGAATACACTGCACAAGCTATAACAACATTGTATGAGTTGATTATTGTTTTAGCGAGTGCAATAAATTCTTATACCCCCAAAAAAAGCCCTCCAATGTTATTTTTTATATCAGGCTGATTTGATCTGCAAGAAATAAAGTTCGTGAGAGACTGTCTTTATTTCTCAAATTTGGTCGAACATTCTTTGTTTTCCGAAGCAAATTTCGCGCCACTCTAAGCTGCCAGTTTGGTTGTTGACTGCAGTGCGCAAATACCCTGCTAGCTCGCTGCGTCCACGTGTGAGGGTACGCGGTACCCCACCGCACGCTATGCTCTGTTGACTGGTAGACAACTGTGAATTTCTACATGCATACTCCGTTGATTATGCAGAAACTAGCAAAATTTGTTCAAATGCGTCCTCATCCGGGTACTTTTACCAACATAATATATTTTAGTCATGCGAATACCTTTTACGAAAGCATACAATACGCTGATATATTTTCACCATTATAAGCCTGATATAAATGTTGCAACCTGATGCCACTTTTTCTTCATATATCATCTCAATAAAGGTCAGTCCTTGCAAAAATGTTGATAAGACATGAATCTGGGACTGAGAAACATTTCCAATTTTGTTAGGAAATACTTTAAAATTTTTTTTGACTCTCCATAGACTTTGTACACAACCACTGAAGTGGCGTCAGGTTGCAATATTTTTTCCTAAATAATAATTACATATATTATGGCAGCTACTATATTCGATTATTTTGAGACATGTTGAGTTTATAGCTGATAAGAAAATGTAAAATGAGCAGGTCATTCTTGGGGAAAAAATAGTTACAGACGGAAATTAATGCTCTTGGCAAGGCTATAAACACATTAATATTTGACAAAGAAGATCACCACACTGTCTGTAGTCATGTATGGTACAGTATTCGTCCTTGTGAATGTATACATGAATATGTTCATTTACATCGTGGTGATGAGATGTATGTCTTCATACAGGTGTTGTTCAGGTCATAAATGTTGAATAGTGAGATGCAAGTATGAAATGCATTATAGTTTTACATTTTAAATTAATAAATATTCCGTGAAGGCATAAGATAATACTTGTATCGCTTTGCCTTCTGGTGCACTGTATATTTTGACTTGTAGTGGACTTTTATCTGAGGAGATGTAGATTTGATCTTAGGGTCTTGCCCTTCAAGACAGTGCTAATGTAAATCACATCGCTAAGGTAGAAATCGCATGATAAAATCTGAATACATGTATGTGCACATGTGGGCAATCCTTTGCAAATTCTGACTTTTACATGTACATCATTAAGAAGATTCTGAAATGATAAAAAAAATGTCTGGCTTGCCCTTTAACAAATGCAATTCATAGAAAAAAAACTGCTCCTTACACACAAAAATGACTCAAGAATGAAAAAAAACAAAAGTACAAATCTTACTTGATGAGGATGGCCTGGAGTTTTGTGGGCTGGGTTTCAGTACCACACTTGCTAGATCACTTGGCGACGGGGGACCGGGCACACTCGGTGCCAACTGGAGTGACAGACTGGTGGTCGGACTGTGCTGGGGCAGACCGTTGGCGAGCTGGGGTGGGGGAGGTGGGGGAGGGGACAGCGGGGTGAGGACAGCAGATGTGATAAAAGACAGACGAGAGGAAACCTCCCGCAATTTGTCAAGATTGTCCTCTCTGTTTTGAAGACTCGTGGGTGGGGAAGCCATCATCGGTGGAGGTGGGATCACAATTGCGGTGGGCCTGCTGGGCCTGACTGTTGGCAGATACGAAGGCGGAGAGTTGGTGATGGAGGGTGGGGAGGGGACGTCGTCTAGGTCAGACGACTTGCGAGGGGGTGGGGATTGCAGTCTTGCCTCAGAGGACATGTTCAACGGGATCAACTGTACATTCCGTTTTGTCGGGCTGACTGGGTTTTCCTCCTCCTCCTGTTGCGCAATCTCCTCTACCATCACGGTGGTGCTGAATCGCAGCGCCTTCTTATCCGGGGAGGGTTTGAGTGCACGAGGTGGTCGCCCAGCGACAGCAGCATGGTTTGTTTCTATCCACGCCTCCCTGCGTGAGGAGCTTATCACCGACTGTTCCGTGGCACTCTGCCGGCGGATACTTTTCTTTGGTGAAACCACGGGCGGTGTTGTCGCCGCCCCTTTGTGATCTGACTCCCATTGGCTTTTCCCATTTTCCAGGCCATCTTCCGCGCCATTTTCCACCCGCGGTTCCGGGCATTCCGTTTGAGTTCCCTGACTGCAAACTTCCGTCACTTTCTTCGGAATGCTCAGCCCTTCGGACCCATTCCTGCTTCCCCTGCCTTCAGGAGAAGCCGCAGTTTTGTGCGTAGCCCGGAAGCCGTTCACCTGAAACGTTGTTGGACCCACATCTGTCAGTTTCTCATAGATCTGCACGTACTGGGGATCCGGGGTGGGTTCAGGGGAATCGATGACCTGATAACGACCGGGGGGATCGACAAACTCCCTCTCAATGGTTCCCACGGAGGATAAGCTGTCGTGGTCGGATAGCGCAGAGGAGGATAGAGATGAGGAGGTGTTGGTTGGTGACGACACACTGTGCTTGACGTAGACGCCTGCCTCGTGGTCAGAAGGGGTGTGGCCACTTTGACCTTTGCCCTTTGCTTTACCAGTCTGAATAAAAAAAAAGAAGTAACATCAAAATCACATCACACATGAAAAGATTTCTTGTTATTGACTTGTTATTTATAACTCTAGTGACCATCCTGCATACAGTGGAAGTCACTGCACTTGGGTATGGGTCATTCTTTAAATTTGGATTCCACTTTTTTTTCCTGTCCCTGTTACATCTGACATCTATGATTCTATAATTGAGATGCACTCCTTAATGCAGTCATCCTCCAAGAGTGATTATGAATAGCAAACTACCTAACCAACAATATACAGATCATTTGAAGTCACTCTCTAATGATACCTGAATGGCAAATTACAAAGTACCAATTAAGGTAACAGGGACAGGAAAATGATAATAATAATAATAATAATAATATCGGAGTCTTATATAGCGCACGTATCTACCAACTATTAGGTACTCAAGGCGCTGGAGATATGTCTATTAATAAAGATGGGCAAATGAAGTTTATGAGAAATATGAGACCCATTATGTAGCACCTTGTAAGGGTTTACAAGGTGCTGCGGCGCATATTGCAGCCACTGCCAGAAACACCGGGGCAAACCCCTTCTCTTAGCGATAAGTGTTACTGGGTTCTTTAACGTGCATTACACAACACACGGCACCTATGGCTTTACGTCCCATCCGAAGGGCGAAGCAATAATGGTAAAGTGCCTTGCTCAAGAGCACAAGCCCATGTACCACGTACGGCACACGAGTCGAACACCGTAACCATTGGACCACAGCACCCCAAAATGTCACACTTTGGACACTACATTTATAAAATAACCTTTATCTGTTTTTCGTGATCAAACTTGCTTCTATCTGAAAGCCATTTCTGTACCCGGAGGCCAATAAAGTTCAAATGTTTGGTGTGATCAGATGTACCAGGAGTTTGTGCAATCATACTGCCTACCCTTTTCTCAATGCTTCGGAGGAACTTGGCGACATGGAAGTGGCCGCATTTCTTGGCGAGGTCCGACGCCACTAGGAAATCTTTGTCCTCGGAGTTGACATCGCAGCCGTGCTCCACCAGGATCTTAGCACACTGATACAACGAAATCCCAAAGATTAAATTGGACTGGAAATTCAGATTTTTTTGAACACATTGATGAAAATCATATTTATATGAATTAAAATAAAGGTGTTTTTTTGCTATATGAGAGTGTATGAGACAGAAAGTTCACATTAGCTTCTTCAGACAAAGCTGCATCAAATGACTTCCTTTCTTTTCATGTAGCTGATTTTACCGGTATATTCAAAAATATTTTTGAGGATTTCTAAATAGACTTTTTTTAGCCCTACTTCAGAGTCTCTTTCAATCCCCTCCCCCCCCCAAGAACAATGTTTTGGGAGTTTACATAATGTCAAACATTATGCAATGATTTAAAACTTTTCCCCCAAATTTATCATTTTTATGCAATATCCTTTTTTTGCCATGACAATTGTCAGAAATCCCATTTTTGTCAAGAAATCTCCTAAAAGGTCCAAAATCGTCCGGAAATTTGGTCTGCAAAAAATGTTAATTGCAAACATTCTGGGGCCCCCCCTCCCTCCAAAACAACAGCCAAGAACCAAACCTGCACTAGCTGGGCTAGTGCAGGACCCCTGATGGAGCCTTGCCACTTATTCGGGCCTTACCTCGAGTTGGGCCTTACCTCTAATTGGGCCTTACCTCTAATTGGGCCTTACCTCTAATTGGCCATGTTCAGCAGCGTCATGCAGCGGTGTCCCGCCTAAGTGGTCCCTCTCACACACAGCTCCGTTATCCAGGAGCCAGCGCACGACCCCCGCGTGACCCCGGCTGGCGGCAAAATGTAAAGGCGTTGCGCCGTCATTGTCTCGCTCCATGGGCAAGACGCCTTGGTCTTGTACCTGTGCAGGATATATACAATTGTTTTTCAATTAAAAAACGCAATTATTGACAATTGAGTTACTCAGTGCTTTTCACCACCAAACTAGGAAAAGAGATTTGCATTGTGATATTAAAAGCTTCATGATTTGGAAACTATCATATTGAATTTGGAATTTACTTTGAAATGACTGTCCCAGAATGTCAAGCTTGCGTTTGTGTCCTTGCACAAGACACTTTGCTACAATTGACCTATCCCAGTAGAATCGCGTCAACGCAGCTTGCGAAATATTGCCCAATTACATGATTTACAAATGGACGTGGAACGCGAACAATCCGAGACAAACAAAACTGAACGTACACAATTCCTAAGGGTTGTCTAAGGGGCGTGGGGAACTCGCAAACGGCGGTAGGTCAATTGCCTCACTTCAGATATTTTCAGACTTTTCCAGGTAACCTTTTTTATGAGGTCCTCAAAACATTCACATAGACATTTTTCTGGGTTCAGTGTAACAGTTCACCTGCTGGCATTGCACTAAAAGTAACAGAGATGTTATTGGATCCAGTGGGTGTATTGGTATGCTCTGCAGGAAGTTGAAATACTTCAATCAATTAAGTCTTAAAATTTGACAAGTGCATTTCATCCTCAAATATTAGCATATAAACACTTGACACCAATTATAATTATATTTTACCAGCCATATGAGGCAGTGCAGTTGTCCCGTCTGTGCTGCGGCGTGGATCGGCTGCATGCCGTCGTTCGCCCGCAGGTGCACGTTGGCGCCCGCTGCAGTCACAAGGTGCTGCAGGCAGGACAGGTGACCGTTCTGGACAGCGAAGTAAGCTGGCGTGGCACCGCTCTCCGTCCGTTCGTTCACCATGCTGTGGCAGAAAAAAAATCAGTACAGCATAAGCGACAGGTTGCTACAGTATAGCACTTCTGTGGCCCGGGTTCGAATCTGATCCAGGCCAATATGGATTTGGTTGCAATCCCTACCTGGAGCACGTTTTGGCGGCCCTTGAACTGGAATATGTTTCTGACGTCACAGCCGTGACCTGACACATGTTTCCTGTGCACCGCGAAAACGACTGACCGGAAAATTGTTCATCGTCATGTTACTGCCTACGTGACTGCACACAACCCCCCCAAAAAATCACGCGGCGACCGGACATGATTAACAATAACATTCAAAGCAAAAGTGGGAGGTTTTTTTTGATAGCGTTTCCCTAAAGTTCTAAAAAGAGTAGGCCTGATATTCTGTATCAACTTTCGTACCAATTGAAGGTAAAAACCCACTTTTTAAATCCCATTTATGGTAAAAAGTAACGTCGTCTGCTAAGCTTGTTTACCTTTCCGCCATCTTGAAACATAAGTGAACCGACCGGAAACTTCGGTTCAACTTTGGTCGAAACAATGACGTCATTTCAGTGTAACCGAAGCGCCAAAACGGCCGCGAACCAGAAACATGTTTACGGTCTCAACGCCAAAACGTGCCCCTGATTCCATGGGTTTCCCAGGAATATCATTCCAGGGATTTTCTAAAAATGAACATGTCTTCATCATCTTCTCTCTTTCTTTAGGCTTCTTCATGCTTCATAGTGCCGGTGCACATTTGTACTTTTGGAAGTCTTAGACTTTTCATTGACAAGAAATGTAAACAACCTACATGTAGGCGGGACACTGCGTGGCGCAAAGCTGCATGTTTCAATTTATGAACTACATGTAGGCAGTCACAGGTACAAATTCTGATCCTTTAAAAAAAAAAATAATAATAATTTTTTATTTCAACCAATGGAGTCTTTTCCCTGCTCCATGATCAAACGATAATTTAAAACATGCTGATTGAAGTTGCACATGTAACTTCAAACTTCAAACCCAGACCAAAAAAAAATGCACAAATTATTACCTGCAAGGTACATTAGTCATTTTTTTACCACAATTTGTTTTTACATAATGTTGCATTCGGGAAATTTTGAAAGATACGAAACAATATATTCAAATTTTGATGTAGACTGGAATATCCTTGCCGACAATTATCCATTTCCCTGCAAAATGTTTACAAAACTCAGAGAGGTTGCAACCTATACAGTCAATCAAAAGAAAAGAATACAGAAACGAATGGCAGAAGAAAAGCGGGGAAAAAATTAAAGAAATTAAATTCTGAGAAACGTTCTTCAGTCAAAATTATTCACTCTGGCACCTCATGAAATTGCTTGTAAAATGCAATCAGCACCGCTGGGGAACACATCATTCAATGGTGTAATCAATTGTAATGCAATTTCTTTTATTTCTGTAGGCCTATTGTGGAATATCAAAGTGCATGCAATTTGATTGAAGCAAAGGGCTTGTGCAGGGGAGCGTGTAGAGCTTTTGAGTTGGAAGCTTTTAGCGTGAGCAGAATTGACAACGGGGAAGACCGTAAACATCTCCTTGTGTTTACATGCGATATCTGAAGTGAAGGGTGGGACGTACGACTTAATTTGACTGTGTATATATTTGTTGTTTTGACGTGCATGTATGCGTTGTCAGTCATTTGTGTGTGTTTCCTTATGATTTGCAACTTGAAAATGACCAATTAATTTATTAATCAATTGTGACTGCTTTCTGAAATGTTTTTCATAAATTGAGTCCTTATATTTTCAAACTTAGATATTTATTTAAAAATACTACATGGCAGCTACATTTTACTTTTTAATTTTCTTAACATGAGGAGTAAAAAATCCAAGGATGAATTCATATGGAAAATGTTGCATCCAATTTCGAAATTAAAAAAAACGTAAAAATAAAAACAAAATTAAAATTTTCAATTAACATTCAGGAAAAACTCAAAGTATTCAACTCCACATTATAATTTATGTAACACTCAAATATTATTAAGGCCAAAAAAATAAAAAATAAGTCAGTCTCTGGTCAGCGCGTACGTCGATTTTAATCATGCGCGTCAATCTTTTTTTTTCCCAAAATGTTCCGCTGTAGCTCCAACAGCGCCCTCTATTGCCGCACCTCCTCAATTTTTTTTTATCGAAGAGCACCAAGGAATGGGAAATTGCACCAAGGCAAATGATCGAGAGCACCAAGGCAAATTATGGAGGACACCAATGTACATGAGGACACCAAAAAAGCAAAATAGTACCCCACCTTGTCTGTACAATCCAAGCTTGAAAAAAAAAAAAAAAAAAAAAAGCTGCGTCCCCGCGTCAATTCCGGAACTTCGGTCTGACCAGAGACCGAATATTTTTTTTGGGCCTAATGCAGCAATGATAGTTTTCTTCGGTACATGTTTCTGATACTTCATTGTTTATTTTTTCTTATTGTCATTGAAAAAGTAATACCAGCAATTCTTTCTTTAAAAACCCCTATATAGTTGGGAACTGTGATTTTTAATGAAAATATTTCTGATATAAATTTTTTTTTCTCTGATTATTTTTTTCTGATATTCTCATTTCTTATTTCTCACATCTTAGTGCCAAATCTGCCATATTAGTTACAGTGTGTGATATTTCTACAGCATCCCTGATTTTTTTTCTCTCAGCAAAATACCACCTGTTATATAATTAACTCTAATATCTACCTATACAACGCAATGGTTGATACAGAGCATTTTTGTCTCCTATAAGCAGGTGCTTTGCACCTGTGACTGAATGGTCTCAGGAAGGCCCTTGGCTTCCTGTTGTTAATACACTGACTGAAATATCGTTTGAAGTCTTTGTTTTTATTGATTTCGTATTAATTTTTTTTTATGAAGTTTTCACGCCCATCACTGTTCAGTGAAACACAAATGCAACAGTAATGATACATTAATGGTTTTCAAGATTAATTAAGATACCAAACTTTAATTTGTGGGGTTAATATGTACGTAATGTAGTTGATTGAATTACTAGCTCCTGTTACATCAAATAATTGTTCCTAATTTCTTTTTTCTGGTATTGAGTTTCAGAACAGATCTTACCAGAGCTCCAAAATATAGAACCTGCCCAAAAATATGGCATTTGTTTATTTTTTGGGTTTTGTTCTTAATTGATTCTTGGAAAATTCACAATGCTGCTAAGGCATAAACTTTGTTTACCTGATTTTGATAAACCATGAATGTAACATTTTGAAACTACCTCTGAAAATGATTTCCACAATCATCCGAAACAAGTCACATCATCTGTGAGTAATGATCAAAAGAGTGAATCTCCCTTGTTGATGACTGGTATTCAACACGGGCAGTATGCATAATTAAAATAACTGAACAATATACCACGTTAGACACTATGTAATCTCCTCATTGTGCCATGATTTTTATGATTTTTTGTAAATATTAAATTTATCACCAGATGGCGCAATTAGTCATTCTAGAGGCAGTCTGCATACATATACATTTATTCAGTTTTTTTTATGGTTTATTTATTAATTTTACATCATTTATATCTTCAGGGATGTGGTAGATATCAGGAAGTTATTAGAGTGGGCCAAAAAATGAATGAATAAATAAAAATATAGAACACTCTTGAGGAAATAAAGAATCTGTTTGTTTTTGGATATCTTTTCTAAATTTTAGAAAATTTGAAAATTTGGGGGAAATTTGTCCAAAATTGGAAAAACCATACAACATAAAAATCGTCCGACAAGTTAGTAAGAGCTACATACCAACACCCCACATAACAATCTTAAGACAAGTCAGTTATATTAAGCTTAATACTAACAAACCCGCCCCCCCCCAAAAAAAAAATAATAATAATAAATAATAAATAAATAATATTTATAAAATGTCATATGTTAACAAACAATGGGTTATCAATGCCGGAAACGATTCAGATACAGTAATGCAAATGAACAAAATGTTGCATCAATACAGATTCTCAACTTATACAATTTTGTGACCCACAATGCAGCATCTAAGCTTGTTCATGTGGCCCATCATCTGATAAAAAAACATGTAGGGTTTTGGCTAATGCTAGTATCAATACACTTGTCAATTTATGTGTGTTTCCACTGCAGGCCTTTCCTCTGCCATAATTGGCTGCCGTAAAATGACTACTGTTGTCAATTATTCTGGCTGTCGCTTTTTATTTCCATTAATGGAAGATGGGTTCTCTCAAGGTGAGCCCTGGGCAAAGACCCTGACAGAACTGACATTTCAAGAAAAAACTTGATAATGTATTTAATTGTATGTGGTATCTTAATTAATGCAATGAAAAATGTTTCATAAAAATAATCTGACAATATTACTACTAATAAGGCGCCAAAAAGACTTTTCACATAATTTTACAAAGCAAAAGATCTTTTGATAAGATAAAAAATAAAAAATATAAATTCTCTTTGTCTATGTGTACATGTAAGGACAACAAAAATAATAATTCTGCTTTGGGTTTACCCTTCCTACCTTATTTTGACAGCCCCTACCCTAATTATTTGGGGGACAAATTAGGGGGAAATACCCATAAATAATAAATTACTACCTTTTACCCTTGACTACATGCAGACATCTCCATATGATCATTGCCAAAAAATTTCCCAAAAAAATATAAAGTCCCTATACCTTCCTACTCTATTTTCAAATGTCATGTAATCAGAAGCAGAACTATTTATTTTTGGCCTAAATTTGGTATATTCTTTTATTGGCATATTAAAAGAGGAAAAACAGATCAGCCATTTTATAGTAAAGCACTTATCATGACTTTCTGCCAAGTTTTGGATCCTTCCATTGTTGATGCTGGAATAAACAAAATATTTTGACATTATTTGTTGGTGTTCTATTTGAAATGTTTATCATATATATTGAGCTGTTTAAGTGTTGAGTATTAACACTTTGCCAATTCACAAATGAGCAAATGGGGCACGGCATAATGCAAAGCTGTGAGTAAATAGGAGTTTTGTGAGATAGAGTAGATGACAGAGATATTTTGGCATTACCATGTGCAGAGCAGGTCAAGGTACGATCTACGCGCTGATAAACAAATAGTGTCAAGAGGGATCAAAATGCACATAATTGAAGTAGTATATTTAGGAGCTAAAATACCGTGGGAAATGGCCAACATACACTTGAACTATCTAATAATATTATTTCAAGTGTATAAATATTTCAAGTGTGTGATCTTTTATTAAAGGGTCCATCATCCATGAAATGAATTTTTCTTAGAAACACATTTTGTGCAACTTTCTATTCCTCTTAAATGTATGAAAACTATTTTGAAATCCCGTTTTGGTAAATTTTATTGAAAAGTGCACTTTTTTAAACATATTTTTTGTATAAATCCATGCTTTTCCTAACAACTGAGGGTGCTGATGCTTTGGTCTCATTTCAGGAAGACATTGTTCAGTTTAGAGGTTTTCCGTCGAATTGTGAACCCACAATTTGCTCTTTGAAAACATTTGTGAAAAAAGTTTGCTCAAAATTAGCTTAGTGCCATGTACTTACACAACGACCAATCACCAAAGAAAAACAAATTTATGAAAGCAAAATGTCCAAAATTCTAGCAATTTTTGTGTGTGCTGAAATTGCTGTAACATTGAAATGACATCACAGTTTTGTTCATGAATATAGAAATGTTCATTAGCATAAAAACAAAAAAAGGCACAAAAATACCCTTGAAAATGGCAAAACGAAAATTAAAAATAAGGGTAAATTGGACACAAAGATACATTTGCAGGGATTGCATTAAAAAAATTACATTACATGGCCCTTTAAACCTATAAATTCTAGTTTCCTTGCCAGTGATCTGTACAAGTATTAAATTTTCAAAATTGTAAAACATTTCAATTAAAATTCAAAAGTTTGTATTTTTAATGCAGAGAGTTATTGAAAATATTGACAAATCTTGGATGGACAAAAGTTGAATTAAGGTTCACTCAGACATTTTTTTCTTCACTTTTCATAATAAGTGCGTAGCCATTTTATCGGTTATCAAATCAGGTCAAATGTTCTGTTGAAAATGAAGCACATTTTCTAGGCCAACCACTCAGGCCAATGGTTGTGGATTTTTTTTCTGGAGAATTTCTGTCTTTAGTAGTTGCTTGTTTAATTTGTCCTCTCATTTTCAGTGAAAGGTTAAAAACAAAATGGCATGCTCTATATTGCATCCCAAGTTCTCAACCAGAAGTTGTAAACTGGACTGCAACACTCTACAAACTGGTAGACAATGTCCAGGCTTGAAAAAACTGCAATTTTCAAAATTTCAAATGAAGAGTTTATTTCTAAACCATTTCTGATCCATTTGAAAAACAAAGTGAAACATTCCACTGTTATGAAACTTTAACCCTAACCGCCCTGAATCCTTCAAAATCCTCTTTGCCAAAGTGGAGGAATTTGGAGGATTGAGGTTACATGGCACAAGTGCGTTACTGTTTTTGTAGGATGAACTTTGTCAAGGTGTTGGGCCGGACCTTGTGTTGCTTCTGCTCAGCCATGCTTAAATATAGGCCTGGATTATGCTTGAAATCCTCCGTATACTGCTCCAGGATGTCACTGGCCAAGCCTCAACATATTGACAGTCACTGCCACAGGATTTTGCATGATTCAGGCAGTGGTCACCTCTCCATGGACCATATTCAAGGAATAATGGAGGAATTTGCAGGATGGAGGCTATATGCTATTTTTCCATGAGGCCAATTGGAGGATTTTGCAGGATTGAGGCTACATCCTAGCAAAAAGGCTTAGATTAAATAAACAATGTAACAGCTGTTTTTAAACTTCATTTTTTTCGCCTTATCAAATTCTTAAACTGTTTTTAACTATAACACTAACAACGAGACTTCGGACAGCCAGGAGGGAGCAGGATACTAATAAAAGGTAATAAAATGGCGTATGTCAAGTTTGGGAAATAAAGTCTTCAGATTAAAGCTATAGGTTATGAGCAGTAAAAAGAACGACTTACTCAGGCACAGTAGTGAGGATGTACATCAAGCAGGATAGATCCCCCTTGGCTGAGGCATAATGCAAGACGCTGACCCCTTTCTTGTCTTTATCCCTGATGCTGAGGCCTCGGACCTCCACCAGATAGCGAAGGACATTGAGGTGGCCAAACCTGGTAGTGAGGTAGAGTTCTTACACAGTCACAAGTCAATTAAAAGTTAATTAACAATTCAGGAACAAGTCATCTTTTCTAAAGTCAAGTGTTAAGCTGTTCAAGTCTATCAGAGGTCATCTAGTCCCCCCCCCCCCCCCCCCCCCCCTGTCGAGTGACAGCCTAATCAAATGTGATTCTCCTGGTTTTTTTAAGAAGATGGCAAACTTTATGAAAAAGCCCACAACCTGGTCACATCAAACTCAATAACTGAAACTGGAAAAAATTAAGATTTCACACAATCTCAAGGAATGAGCTTGTCAATATAATGATTCGCTTCATTAAATAGGGGAAGGAGAGCAGAACTATTGAGAATTAAATTTTGAAATTGAAAGTGCGCACATTATTTGTCACAATTTTTTTTTAACAATCATTAAAAATAAAATCAACTTCATTTTATAACTGGATATACTTCTGATACCGGGGTAAGGAGGTCATGGAGGTAACTAAGGCCGGGAGGGGTTGGGGGATGGATAAATTACCTTGCGCTGAGATGTAACACCGTGGCTCCACTGTGATCCCTGGCTTGGTCTGGGCAACCCCACCGCAACAAGTAATCCAGGCAGCTCTGATGTCCGGCCGCGGCCGAGTCGTGGCTGGGGAGAGCACCGTTCTGGGCCGTAGCTATCGTCGAATGCCCTGCCTCCTCCACTAGGAACCTCACCAGGTCCAAGTTGCCCGAGCGAGCGGCGAGGTGCAGGCACGTCGCGCCGTACGGGTCCCGCAGGCTGCGGTCTAGCTCGCCCCGGGCCATGGCGCGCTTGACGGCCGACAGTTGCCCTGTGCGCACGGCCAGCAACGTTTGGTCCACGCTCATTGTCTTTCCCTCACTCACATTTCTGCTATTTGTTTCTCAATGTAGTGTATCATAAAACCAAAATATTTTCGTTGGAAAAGAAATAACTAACAAAAAAACACCGAAAACCCAAAAGACCAGCTGCAAGGAGCACGTATATAAAATCTTTTTCAATGATCTTTGTTGGAGCGCACGAACGCAAGTAATGCAGACGACGGCGCATGTTTACGCCGAACTGTGAAGTGAAAAGGCGCCTGTTTGTGCGCCGCAATTATGTTATTAATGTGTATCCACCATAGAAATATCAGTCTGGGCTACTTTTAATGCAAATAATTACAGCAGGTGTATAGCCCAAATGGGCGCTGCAGAGCGTGATTGTATTCGGTGTTGATATTCTGGGCGGCTCCCCAATAATACTGTCTGAAGCTCAAACTTCACATCGCCAGGGCGGAAAAGTGGAAGCATGACTCGAAATAATAATTATTATTTTTAAAAAAGTATTCTCTACCGAATTATTAAAATTGACAGTGAAAAAATACAAACGATTTCCGACTTTGCAAGGCACAAATTACAAAATAGTAATTTCGGCTTGGAGACCAAGCAATGTTGCCAATTATAAATGTTTTTATTGTAATATTGTTTGGAAAATACTTTTCGTATACGAACTTAGATAAACTATGGGGTGAGTCAAAAAGAAGGAAACCCAAATGGCAGGATCAATTATTTTATGAGGTTCTGCCTTCCAAAACAATATTTCATTCTCTGGACCTAAAATATGGAATACTTTACCGCTGGCTCTCAAAGGGATCAAGTTCCTACACTACTTTTAAACGTAAACTAAAGTTATATCTTCTGTAAATGTTATACCTTCTAATTTGTACATTATCTTATCCTGCTGAACTCATTCTTCTGTCGATTACTGTATAACTTATGTTTCTAAATGTTTAGTTTCGCTTTTGTATTTTATTATGTTTTGTTATGTATGGCATGTCTTGAACAAGCTTTTGCTTTTTAGGTTTTGCCTCCTCTTCTTGACTTGATTTTCTTATCCGTATTCTTTTATATCTTTTTTGAATAACCAGGCAGAAAAACTATATTTTACCAAATGAAACGAACTTTCTCCAATTAGTCTTTAATTTTTAGTATTTTATTAATAATTGATTTTATTACTTGAATTGTTTATTGGTTTGATTACAACAATTTTACCTTGGAAAGAAATAATAGTATTTGTCTTTGCGCGTTTTTTTTTTAATTTAAACTTCGACCAAAGCAAGTATGAAAAGCCCCTCAAGCAAGAAAAGTAGGACTCTTAAAATCAAATGTTTGGACCCGGCCCAGGCTCGCTAGGTTATGGGTACAGCCCTGGCGTACGGCTGTCGATTTTAACTCATTGTTTGGGGTTTGTTCACGGTTCATGTTGAGTATGTGATATTGGTAGGATAAGATGTTAAAAATACTGTTGAATGATAGGTCACTTCCAGTTGGGCGAAATGTTATAAGACTATTTATATCTCGATTGACCTGCGGGCCTTTTTTTATTCAAGTCATGAGTCTCTTTTCATTCGAAGAGGGCGCGCTTCTTTTTTAACGGGAGGACATGGTTGCGCATGACATACTTTATTTCCTTGTACATGTACATGTACATGTACATGCTTGTACATTGTACCGTGACGGCTGTTGTGCTTGAGTGATAAAGTTCACTTTTTGCCGACTCAAATTAGCACGCAATCATGGTTAATGGTCCGGTAGCTCGCAATGTCTCATACGCGGTTTGCATAGGAAAGATAATAATTCCCTTTTTATATGGTTTACAACTTCGGACTAGTAGAGGTGGATCAAGAGGGGGGGGGGGGGGGGGGGGTCACTGACTACAAAATGGGGCAAAAAATAATAGATGGAATGTTCCTTAATTCATTCTCGAATTGCCTTCAATGCAGGGAAAAGCATCGATTTTAAAATTTTCGTTTTGGAGGAGGGGGTGCAACCAGACCCCCCCCCCCAGCATATCAACCCCACCCCCCGTTTCCTGAAATCTAGATCCACCCCTGGTTTAATGAGTACAGACGAATGTGACCTAAAAGTGCACCAAATGTCTTCATTATACAGGCAGTTGGAGGTTATTCTGTCATTCTCCCATTTCCAATTATTTGGATTTATGTATCAATGAGTTGATATTCTTCAGGGATGGCACACAAACTTGTACATTTGAAGTACTTTGATGCAAAATGTAGCACAAAAGCAATGACTCGCCATACTTTGATGATTTTGTATTTCAAAACTACTGTAAATATCCAATGATAAAGGCACTTTTAAATTAATAAATAACAAATAGAAATTAGACATGTTCAGTATTGATGGAAATAATTTATTTTGGTTCATCTTGGATACCTCAGCAGAATTTACAGCAAAAAGGGTTGTATACTATATGGTGTTCTAGATCTGCCATCTCGCATCTTGCCCCTCCCCTCTCGCATCGCCCCCTTCAACGGGCGAGGACTGCTGGCGAGGGACGACTCCAAGGGTCGCGAGGGGAGATCCGCTAGACAATCTGCGAGATGGCAGATATACAACACAATAGTATACAAAATGAACCACACATTTGTGAATATTTATTTATTTTTATTTATTTATTTATTTTGGCAAATACGGAGAAACATAGAGTGATACTTAAAAAAAAATGAACTGATTACATATACAAAGCCAAGGATAGCCCAAAAAGCTGTTTATATAAGACAGCTTATTATTTTTTTTTTTAGACGAATGGAATCCTAGGGAGAGAGAAAGGTGGAGGGAGTGATTCCTTGTTTGTAGGGGACGTATCAAGCCATGGACCCTAAACTTAGAACCCTAAATTGCTACTCGTGAGTACCTGCTTCTTTTCGTGCCATGACAAGTACTCAAGTAGATGAAAAACCAAGAGTAAAAGAATGAGTAGCATGAACTTCTCGTGAGTACTTGAATAATAGAGTTACTCGTCCAGCGGTATTGTACAAGCATGTAAATTTGCATGAAGCATCTGTGAAATATTGTAACAGTTACGACAGGCATTTAAAAAACATATTCCACTGTTGATAAACTTGTCACATAAATTTCCTAGTATACACCATTAGTACAATTACGGAATGTACATTGTACATATGTACATGTTTTGAGGTAGGTAAGAAACAGACTTTTGTTCACATACAATTTATTTGTAATGCACTATAGATCAGCACACTCGACTCACACTATGGCCCGTCTCGCACCAAGATGAAACACCCTGTAAAATGTAAATGAGGAGAAATTTATGTAAATGTAAATGATAAAGCTTTCCAACCGAAGTAGATAAAAAGTAATTGAGTAAAGCCAGTCCCAGTGAAATTTTTTTGTAAAACCGCCTCCGAGAACTTCATCAGAAGGGAATAATTTCGAATAAAAAACCCCAAAAGTCAGGTTATGTTGGCCCCGGAGCGCAAAGGCAAAACATCATACTCTCGTGTTTGAAAAGGTTTTTGTTATTAACAAGTGGGTGCACTCATCCTTTGCACAAAATACTGTCTTGTTTGGTTTTGTACGTCTTCAGCATTTCTTCCAGAGGGGCGGAGCCGTCGAGGACCATCACAGACCCTGGGACGGGGTACTTCTCAGAGATCAGCCAGTCCTCGTAGAGTTGATGGAGTGACTTCAAGTACTCCAACGGGATGCCCTCCTCTTCTGTTCTGCATCGCTGTTGTATCCTTTCGTAGCACTGCTCGGGGGAGGTCCGGAGGTAGATGATGCGGTCCACACCGATGTGGTGATTGCTGATCACCCACTGGAAGAGCTCATCTAAGACGGTGAATTCCGGATCCGACATGGTGGACGTCAAATGCATGTTCTCGACGAAGATGTAGCGCGCACTGTACACCGATCGCTCCATCATTTTGAAAGGGGTGGCGACCTGTGCCCGGTGGTTCTCCAGCATGGTGAGCTGCACGTAGGACTGGAATGCAAAGCTCCATCTCTTGGGGTCGCGGTACATGAGCTCAAAGAGGTTGTGACCTCGGGCATTCCTCCACTTCTGGACCGGCTCGTCGATGGTGGTGACGACATCGTGTCCGGCGAAAAAATTCATCAGGGTTGTTTTTCCCGAGCCGATGTTCCCTTCTATGGAGATCGTGATGGGCTGCTCTGTGCCCCGTCCGTTCATGCGTCCGTTTCCAGAACTGAAATCTTGGCTCTGCATTTTCACTGTAGAAAATGTGCGAGTTAGTCCTTGAAGGGTTGTGCTAGTTTTGTGCGCTTGCCTCAGATGCACTGAGAAATTTACACCAATAAAACGTTGGCACTGGCAGGCAGCGACGCGTGGAAAGACGCCCAGGAATCTACTCAGCAACATTGTTGACTTGTATCATGTTGTATTCAAAAGTAACAAGTTGATTTCCTGCAGAAAAAAAAGATGAAAATTATTAAATCAATCATTTATTTAGTTAAAATTAATAATTCAATATTACAAAAGTGATACAAACCCAACGTTTTATACTTTATAGTCAATACAACTAATTAGATCTTGAGTAAAATGCAATATTAACATGTGTCCAGCTTTGCTGATGTATTTAACATGATTAAAATTTGAGGATTTTTTTGGGGGGGGGGGTTTACTGCTTGGCAAAAATACATTTCGAAATGAAGAAAAGTAAGAATGAATACTTTTTATTTTGTTTTTGTAATGAATTCGTCAAGAAAAAATTTAAGAGCTGAGTGTGTGGATTCGAATACATCAAAATAATGGAAAAAGTTCCACACCTGGACAACACTTGACATCCGTACACAAACGCTATGAGACTGGTCTGAACAATTCTAAATGTTTTCTCAAATGCTTCAATATTTTCCCTGCTAAATTTGACTTTTTACTCGCTTTCTGATGGCTGAGTCTGATACTGGGGTCACTGCAGGGAACAATTAGTGATGTCCGTGTATGAAATGCTTCCCAAAATCGATAGTTCTAGCCCTAGTCACATGGAGGTACATTATGATGTCATTATTTCCATTCGTCCAAAAATACCTGCCTGCCTGCACATTTTTCCTGACAGCATGCTGAGGTCCGGGCGAGCGAGCCTGCATTTACAGCAAACAATTACGTACAAAACTGCCTTTTCTCTGTGCAATTTCCGAAGTTAATATCTCCCTGCTATGTCATACGATTTTGGAATGAGAGCTAGAGGAAAGGGCTTTATAATTATATATTGCAATTTCCTGAAAACATGACAAAGAAAATACAAACCTTCGCGGACCTGCTCAGACTTGCACTTGCAGAATTGCAGGGTGGACACATGTTTCGACAGGTTCCACAGCATGAAGCAGAAATGTACCTTGGCAAAGCATGGTCAACGTCAGGACTTTAGTTCTTTGTAAAGAGGGTGCGATTCTATTAATAGACTTTTGCGTAATTGCAAATCCAAAAATAGAAATGCGGTCTGCTTCAATGAGACTGGTCAGGTCCCCAACGTGATGAGTGGCATTTGAACGGTTAAAAGGCTGTTCGTCCGGGGGTACCTGTCTAGGTTTTGTCGTGACTTGTCACTCAATTCCGTTATGTATATTAATGCGCAAAGGCAATTTTCCCTGATTTATTGATAGAGACAAAGTAACGATCTTATTTCATATTTGACTTTATCATTGATATCATTTAAGTTATCAATGGCGTTAAATGAGAAAAGAATTATGCCACTCTTTCTGGTAGAATATCTATTTCTTGTTTGTAACCTCCGCTCCAGAACACAATGTTTACAACGCAAACAGTGAGCAATGTGGCCTCGCCTCGATGTACACGTTAGCACAACAGTGGTGACGCATCGGCGGCCGGGCAATGTTTTTATTGCTCCTTTGACAATTAAGTTGCTTGGAAATCCCTGTTGTTGTTTTCTTGACTAGTGACGTGTGGATTGCGTGTGCACAAAACAGGTTATGCTGTTGCATCAGATATCGTCGATTTAAAGATTCCCCACAAACTTTTTGATTCAGTCTCGACTGAAGTTTCTGCACGGCAACATTGCCGACGTTGGAGGATACAGCAAGAATTACACTTTGGTTAGGTCATTATTTAATGTTACGGTCAGATATGCTCTCTAAATATATTATATTCCGAAACAAACGCTGTCGTGTATGATTTGTGCTGGTGAAAGAAAAACTTTTTGGTTTTAGTAACCAGGACACAGACTGATTTCAGTAACAAACGACACACATTTTCTTTTAAAAGGATTTTAGGTAAAGAAAACTTGTGCATGTGTAGAGAGAGCTGATAAAAAAAGCAGAGGCTGATTTGTAATTAACAATGAGTTTTATTGTGCAAGTGGCATTTGTCGGCCTAGTGATTTTCATCACGCACAAGATCTACGAATGCTTCACGAGAGCATCTAAGGCAAGAAATCATCATACAGAGGAGAGCACCGCCTCATCGCAACCGCCTCGCGAACCCCCACCTTACAGCAGTTTGTATCCAGACCTCACTAAAGACAAGACAAATAACGCCGCCAAGAATGCCAGCCCGTGTGCCACTGCGGGTGCTTGTCCGTCCATTGGGAGCACCATTGCTCGGGTGCTAGGTTGGGCCAGCAGCACAAGCTCCTCTTTTAAAACCATCCGAGATAACTTCAATTCCTTGGATGAGGTCAGCAATGCAATCAGGAGGGCAGGGCTAGAGTCAAGTAACTTGATTTTTGGTGAGTGTTCTATATAGAACTGTGTTAACTATGACAGAAGATGGTCAGAGCATACTGACCGGAACGTCGAGTTTATATCTCTGGTTCTTTTCAGAACCATTCTCTTAGTTGAGAAATTATTTGCACATGGTGTTTCCGCAAACCTTTCATTATTTAGTATCTCCACCATGCAAAGCCTCAAATCTTACTTATGACATTGTTGCATTACCATCGGAAGTTTCATGACTGTGCTCTATAGAGTATAGGGCTGCAAGTTTGCGATTTTTTTTCTCAACCAAAGGCAATTCCTTTTCATAAGATGGAATTTTGGCTCGGGGTGATGTAAATCAAATTAGGTTTTCCTTTTCAGTTACAGTTTTGAAATGGCAGATTTTTTTTTCAACCCAAGGTCATTTTTAGATAAAATTTTATGTAATCCATATTTCATGTGATTTTTGCCGAAATAGGTAAATGATGTCAAGAAGACTTGTTACTAATATAAAAAAAGCTTGTCAGCTGACATGTACCTACAAAAAGTCTCTGATTTCACAAAATTGTTTTCAAGTAATCAAATTAAAAAATTTAACAGAATAGTTGAACACATTGATCTACGACACCTGAAATACTTTCAAAATTAGTTATAACATAGCGCCCTTGACTTTCTAGCCAGCTCCCCTACCTTGTGTAAGACCCCCCCCCCCCCCAATTGGCAAACCTACCCACCCAGCCCCCCACCCCTTTCTGGTGAAACCCACTCCTCCCATTAAATCATTGACCGGTGTGACGATACCTTCATTGTAATTTTGTAGTTGATGCTTGTATGTTTGTTTGTTTCATCTTTCAGGCATTGATTACACCAAGAGTAATCTCTACACTGGCCAGCAGACCTTCGGAGGGAGGAGCCTGCACACCCTGGTACCAGGAATTCAAAATCCGTACCAACAGGTTAGTGTAGAGAATTTGGAAGTGATGATATGGTCTAATTGCTTGTATCAGACTAACAAGACTTCAGACCTGATCTCACATCAAACATACGTCCGAAAATTTGGGACTCTCAATACTGTGTATGAGAGTCCTAAAACTTAAAAGTCATTGAAAACATGCAATACGAGAAAATAGACTGGCATCTGAAACAACCAGTCCAACAGCCCTTCAGTACTGCATCAATCAACTGTGCCAAAAGAAACATATGGCATCTGGTACTGGTGTCTATTTCTACACATTTCTATTCATGAGTCAGCCACTAGACTCATGAAGAGGTCAGTCTTTTCAAACAGTTGGACCATGGTTGGACATGTACCAGTCTAGTCTTTGGCCTCAAATTGATATCACTGGTTTCACTCTCAGGTGCAAGTTGCCCCCCCCCTTGCCCCCCCCCTTGTTGTTTTGCTCTAGCTGAGTTGACCAAACATCAAAGCTAAAGAAGACAGTACAAAGTCAAGCTAGACATTTTCAGACTTAAAGGGAAGATACATGTACAACATTTGCAAACATCAAAAAACGAACTGATCAAATTATCACGAAATACCTTACTGGATTGTTAGGGAATGACAGTCTAAAGCATCCTGTAAAATCGTAGCTCCTGGTGTGCTGACATTTTTAAGAAAAATTGTATTTTTCCAATGCTGGTCAGCCGACCAGCGTTGGAATAAACTGGCTTTTTTCAAAAACTACTCATTTTTTCATTTTTAGTTAGTCCGCATTTTCTTTGCAATTAATTACACACCTGTGAAGGGGTACAAGCCTGCTAGACTGATTATTTGACTTTACAATTCCCCAAAGTCTATAAATTGCTCGTTTCATCTTAGGCGGGGTCAAACCCAGACTACAAGAACATATGATTGGTTTTCTTGGTTTTTCCAGCATGTACAATAACAATATAATATTTGCTATAATTAACATACTTATCCTCCAAATCCATTTATTTCTGAAAATTGCAGCAAAAGCAAATGTTGTACATTCCCTTTCATATCCGAGTGAGAAATCTAGAGGCTGTCCTCAGACAATAATCAGACTTTCACTTTTCCATTTTCAGGCCATTTCAATTCTCGGCCAAACGTTGGCGCCCTTCGATGACGACAACCTCCTGCCAGTCTTCGGCTTCGGTGACCTTTCAACCCAAGGTCACTCCGTCTTTCCCTTCCGGGCCGACGGGGTCTGCCACGGCTTTCAAGACGTTCTGGAGTGTTACGACCGCATCACGCCTGCAGTGACCCTTAGCGGGCCGACGGACTTTGCGCCGGTCATCAACGAGGCCATAAGAATCGTCCAGAAAACTAAAGCGGTCAGTTTTTAAGAAAATCATTTCAAGAAATAGCGTTTTATTTTATTGGCAAGATAGTCCCATATGGACAAAATGAAGCAGTCCCATTTTTTTTCTGTAGTTTGTCTGGCTTCTAAATTGTAAGTCATCTTACAGAATATGCTTGTTAAATTGTGGAAAGAGTACATATATTACTGTATTTAATTTTAGACATAGCAGCTTGCAATTTTGAATTCCAGTATACTCAAAGGAGTAGTTTGCCCCTGTTTATGTCTCAAATTACTTAAAAATAATGGCATTAGATAACAATATTTTAACGGTCCATAAGATGAATTATAAGAAGAAACACATTTTGTGCAACTTTCTACTCCTCTTAAATGTATGAAAACTATTTGACATTCCTTTTTGGTTAATTTTATTGAAGATTGCACTTCTTTAAACATTTCAAGTTTCAATTCAATGCTTTTCCGGACACTGAGGGCGCAGTTGCTGTGATGTCATTTTAGGAAGACACTGTCAGTTAAGGGGTTTTGTGTTCAAATTGTGAACCCAAAAATTTGTTTATTGAAAACATTTGTGAGAAAAGTTTGCTCATTGGGTAACTGCCATGCACTTAAACAGCAACGAATCACCAAAGAAAAGAAAATTTACAACTGCCAAATATCCAATTGTTGGTGCTGAAATGTAGCTGTAAAATTGAGGTTTCTGCCTGAAATGACAGCACACTTTTGCTCATGAATATGTAAATTTGCAGGAGCAAAAAAAAACAAAAAGGCACCAAAATACCCTTGAAAATGGCAAAACGAAAATTTTAAATAAGGTTCAATTAGACACAGAGGTGCATTTTCAAGGATTGCATTAAAAATATTACATAAATACATGGGGCCCTTTGAACATAAAAAGCACAAATTTAAAAAGAGCTACTTTAAGTGACTAAAATAATTGTTCATTTTATATTTTTTTTCACTCAATTTTTCACACCTGCATAACGCAGCATAGTTTCTCATACATACAACGATTTGAAACAATTACACTATTACTTCAGATCATAATGAAAAGTACATGATGAGTACAAAAGCCAGCAGAGTAAAAAGAACAACTTCAATTTCAGTAATGTTCAATTTCTGACAATCACATTTATTTCAATCAAAGCCAAAAAATCAAATAACTATGAGAATAATAAATCATTGAGTGAAATTTTAAGTAGAACTGAAATCCAGAAGCAAGTATTTAAGTGATTGTCTTGATTCCATCATTTCAACATCTGAATCTTTGAATTTTGCTTTCTTCCACGAATCTCAAAATATTTTTTTTAAGAAGCGGAACTAATTTGATAAAGGCCTTCATGTATTATGGAATGAAAGGCCGCTGCTAGCTTTAGGTAGCTGTCAGTTCCTAGTTTATTTCACATCAATAAATACATACAAATCATAATATTACGTATAACAAACAATAATTATAAAACAATCACAATTATATAATAAGTTTGGAATGATCATTAATGATGAATAATCTGCAAAAAGATTCTGCTCGAACCGTCAAGCGGCTATTTTCAATTAGGAGCAGATAATTTTATGATATATCACGACATTTATGACCATAAAAGTTTCATCTTAATTTACATTTACAAGGTGGGAAAATATGTTGACACCTGAAATTACTAATCGTACAAAATTGCAAGAGTGGTACAGTATATTTACAAACGTGTGGTGAGTTAGGGCCGAGCCAAACAAAACCCGTCCTGCACGGACACACCCGGAGTCCCTTTCAAAAGAATAACACTCTATATATGAATTGATTGATGAATTAATAAAACCAAATTGCTTTATTCGTCACCAACAGTATCACATCCTGGTCATAATCGCCGATGGTCAGGTCACCAGCGAGAAGCCCACGCGCGACGCCATAGTGGCGGCGTCCGGGTACCCGCTGTCTATCGTCGTGGTGGGCGTGGGCGACGGGCCCTGGGACATGATGCGCGAATTCGACGACCACCTGCCACGCCGGAAGTTCGACAATTTCCAGTTTGTGGAGTTCCACCGGGTGATGATGTCGGCCCGCGGGAACAAAGAGGCAAGCTTCGCCCTGCACGCGCTCATGGAAATCCCGGACCAGTATCTGGCCATTCGAAAGCTGAATCTCCTTGGATGAACTATTTTTCACCTTTTTTTATACGAACTGCAGACAAATTTCATACAGTGTGAGTAAAAAAAAAGAAAAAAGAAGGAAACCCTTTTTTTGTTTTACAGAAGTTCTGCCTGCATGTAGCGCGTTCAAGATCTAGGATGTAAAAGCCCAATTATTAAGCTTTCTGTTAGTGAAAGCATCATTCAAATCGCTCAGTACTTTTCAAGTTATGGACTTTTAAACGCAAACACAGTGTTATAATTTTGTCCACATATCACAATAAAGGTGTAAGTGATATTTCAGCAAAACATTTTGGTTGGTTTTTTTTTAATGAATTTTCTTATTACATGCAAGATCAAACTCTAGGTTATCAAAATGTCAACATTAACATATACATATTTTTGTTAATGTTTCGTCAGAAATTCCTATTCAAAATGATTTTCTGATTTAAATTGAATTATTATCAAGGTGTCTTACTTTAAACCACTCATTCAAAATCAATTTATACCAGTAGTGCACGTTGCTTTGTGACACCTCGAGCCACATATAAATGACATTGTATTCATTCCTCGTGCTTCAAGGTTTTTTTTTTTGTAAACATATACATTTTCTTTTTCTTTTGTACCACAGATTTATAGGCTCTTTTTTTTTTAAACTTGCAATTTCTATTTTTGAGGGTTAAAAACTTTTATGTACATACAATACGTTTGCTGAATGTATCATATCAATAAGTTTCTACTGTTTAGAATCTAAATTATCGTTTGATTGATCATTTTTATATAAAATAAGTATACATAGTAGCTTTACTGTAGATCTACCTCAACGGTTGTGACACAATCCACGACGCGCTAAGTATGATTTTAGTAATAAAAAAAAATAATGAAACAGTACAGATGTTACATATAATCTTGTTGTAAAAACGTATCCTTTTTTGTAAAGTGAGAGGATCGCAATAATACTATTTCAAATCGAGTAACGGCTTTTCTGACTTAAAGTTTGAGGTTTGTTTTATTTTGGTATAAACAACTCAACGATTCGATTAAACGCAGAGAATGCACTTTGTATTTACGGATCGCTGCTTTCCTGTAACACAACCGTATAGGGCAAGTTATTATACAATTTATGGCAAATTAAGGATATTTAATTACAGACACACGCATTAAAATTATGAACTTCATACGCACCTTCACCGCAAAATTGGTGGTTGACAAGGAGCAACCGCTTCGTGTTAACGAACCATGTAATGTTAGGTTCACACATTCCCAGTTACGAATACAACAAAAATAAACCAAGAATTGAAATTGGTTCCCGAATCACCCGACAATTTTGAACATGTTCAAATTTGTCGATGCGCTTCCCAATCTTAAACGATCTTTCGCCGAACAAACATAATCATCCCGAGGCAGCCAAGAACCATCCCCGATTTACTCAAGAATTGCTATTCGTGACGATTCGGCCTTAAAAATCGGGAATGTGTGAACCTAGCATAATTATTATGGCACCAGCCCAGTAAAAAGGCGAAAAAAATCAGTCCACCGAGCTCATGATCGAATAAAAGTATTACACTCAAATTTTTCTATATTGGAGAGTTCTGGGGAGCCATGAAATTGGGAATTGAAGATGTGGCACTGTACCTCTGGCCTGCTGGACTTGGAGCTTGCAATTCTGAGCATTTTAGATGCAATTGGGTCCGAAAGTGGCGCTATTAATGTTGTGGAGGGATCCTTTTTCAAAATGGCTACTTTTCCAGTTCTAAACAACGGTCGTTTAAGAGGTGATCTTCTTTGGGTGAGAATTTCTCCTACAAGTCAATGGTCAACCCACCAAAAATTGAAAAGAAAATGAAAACTGATGACATCTCGATCTTCAGTTTTTCTGAACCGACTGTAAGATGGTTCTGAGTATTTGTAAAAGAATTTTGAAGTATGGGGATTTAACACTGGTGTCTATGGGAATATTTACACTGGCGTGCACCCGTAAGAACATTCAAGCAGGAACTAGCAAACTAGCGCCCTCTTAAGCGTATGCACATAGACAATTTGGGATACGCTGATGAGCTTCACAGAATCTGTTTAAGGAAGTGGCCTATGACCTACGTATAAAGCATCTGGCTGCAGCTGTTTAAGACCGCAGTTAGAAAGTGCGCGAAAATGCTATCCGAAAACTTTCCCTCAGAAATGCGCACATTCCATACCGGATGTGATTTCTGTTTCATTGCGGACCATGTGGACACAATTAATTTTGAGCGTCGCATAATGCAATCCGACCATTCGTGATTCGAAACGGAGCGGCAAGTGACGGGAATTGTAAATTTACAACACCGGGTAAGTTTTACAGAATTTCCTACATTATTACGCTTTTCTACGAAAACAAATCCCTAAACTGGAATAAAAGAGTAATCAGGCCGTTTCCAACCTCGTCCCCAGGGTGTTGGGCAGAACACACCCACCACTACCTGCTCTCTCACCCTGGTATTGGATCATTTGCATGTGCGAGATTTTTGAACACGTTTGCAAAATGAGGAGTAGTCTGGTGCCTGCCTGTGCATGGCTTGGCTTGACATAGCATGGCTTGACTTTACGAAAACATGATTTTATTTTAATTAAATTGTTACGATCTTAACGAGACAACATGCAGTATCACATTTCATATTTATATTAACAAATTGGAAAGGAAATAAATATTTTCGAGCAGGCGTGGACGAATGATCGCGAAAACACGTACTCAGTGCACGTTGTGCATAACAACACCAAGTACACGGTATAAATCCATTTCTAGCCAACTGCGGTATCGAATCAGAATGCAGGAAGGAAGTTTCCTATCCAGGGCTTACTATTGGATACAAGGGTGGAAATAAAGTAAGCACTGGGGACGAGGTTGGGCCGTTTCAAACCTTGCAGAGTCATGACCGTGATGACGCGCAGGTCACAGGTCACGCAAAATCCAACCAATCAGAGCGCGAATTTATCAGAGTATCCCAGCGTCCTGTTTGAAGGGCGGGGGTACGAGCGAAATAGACAATAAGCCAAGGTGACCCTTGAACCCAACTGGGATGCCCTCTACACGTTCAAGCAGCTGTGTATTGAGAAAATTTGACCTTTGTGGGCCATGTAGGCAGGCATAGTTTATTTAGTTTATGTCACTAATATACCCTCATGTCGCAAGTCTCTCTCTATATAGGCTATGGCTCTGCTACAATACAGCATGCTGCTTAGTTACGTTCATAATACTCACACCCGTTTGGAACAAACAGATCGTTTTGTGCTGCATTCTCCATTCCCGCAGAATTCAAATCGCATTTAGCTTCGCTGGCGAAGAAATTGAACGATTTACAGAGAGCTTCGCTCGAACACGAGGCAGCGCATTGCACCAAATTTCGCGCGTACTTGCTGTGGATTACGTGATTGGCCAGGCAGGTGCCGGGTAAAGCACGCCCTCCAGAGCCGTGTCTTGTGAAGATGTAGGATTGCTTGCAACTTTCATCCTGCCGTGGTTCTAGTATGAAAACACAAACAAAAGAGAGAAGACAGATAGAAAATGCTGGGAAGAAAAGCCAAGAAACAGTTATCCTACTTCTGCTATGCACACATGCACTCTGCCGGTGCTAGTAATATGATAACATTTCTAAAGAAACAGCTGTTTTTATGTTTTACAGTATGTTTTCCTCAATTCCTCAAAGGAGCCTGCAAGTGGACCTCAAAACCCCTAAGAGATATTACGAGAATACGGCACTCCAGACAGCATGTATCTTTAACGTGTGTAACGTCCTATTGTTTTTATTTTGTTGGCATTTAATGTACCGACCCGGCTAATTGAGGAGGAAAAAAAATGGCTATTTCGAAAGAACAGAAAGCATTACAGTTTACAACATATTAAATATATTGCGAATAATTATTGATGGCTACTACAAAATTAAAATTGTTGACCTCAATATCCGTTCAGCCGATTATGCTGATACCAATTGGGTAAATTCAAACACGGGAGCCTGTGATATAGACTAGTCAGTGTTTGGTACCAAGACGTTCACAGATAAAGTGAATGTGGACTGGCGAGACATACAAGTTGTACAGGGTGAGTCAAAAAGAAAGTGACCGAATTCGAAAAAAAAATAAAAGAATATGTGGCTCGCCTCATTTCCTATAAAAAACACAGGCATAATTAAAGTACATGTTATTTGCTAGTTACTGTAAAAATATCAAGTAATTTGCATATACTCTTCCCAAGTTGCATCTATTTTAATGTGAAGATCACAAAATCCAGCTGTCCACCACGTATCATTTACCGTTCTACGAACTGATGAATACCCATTAAATACAATGAAACATGGACGTTTTCCCACCTCGATGAATGGGGAAAACTTGCAAAGGAAACCATACAGAAATCGCCATTAATATTTCCGCCCCCCAAAAAAAAAAAAATTGGATAAATTGTTCCTCATATTCAAAGCACACAATCTAACAGTAAAAATATTCTTCAGTCTGTATTTAAGTGATTAAAATCTCATTTGCATTTGAATGCTTGTGTGTAATCTGTAATTCTATCTCAGCTATAAAAATGGCTTATTTTAGTAAAACGTGCAAAACTTCCGATAGCATGGATCAATTTCAGTAATTCCTTTTTTGAGATGAGTGGGAAAACATGCTCTTTTAATATATACTTCATTGTTGTGTCCAGTTTGATTGCTTTTTCTTACAAAAATATGCATCGCTTTGCAACAAATGTTGATGTCAAGCAGAGTATCGTCCGATAACCATTTCACATGAAATCTACGTCATATAGCATTTTGGCTTATAATCAGTTCTGGCCTATAAGCAAATTCTATTTAAATCTATCATCTCCTGTTTCACCGATATAGTAAGGTGACGTGACTGTATCTTTCTGCTTACGCTTACCTGTAGTAGTAACCTGTGGTTCTGCAGTTGTAGAGATCCCGTCGTGTATGGCAGGCTTCTCACAGACGTAGGTGTAACTGATGGTGCAGGGGCTGGTGATCAGCTGAGGAGGCTTGCGGGTCCTCAAGACGACACAGCTGGGAGAGCTGGACGACATCGGGTAATAGGAAGACCAGTCTGCAACAGCATGAAGTTTCCCAGTAGGTTTTAAGTTAGGGGATTACTTGAGTAGTTATCAACGTGATCTACAAAACCGATAATGACCGCTGCCGAAGGCTCAAAAATGATTTTATAAAGTCGCGCGTGGTGTATATTCAAGACTGATATGATCTCCTTAATATGGAGAGCATAATTATTGTGAGTGGTATTAAATACACGCATAACTCGATCTATGATGGTTCTCAAGCAGTCAGTGGTATGTAGCCGCATCAAAAACAGTTGCTTTGTTTTTCTTCTGGTAATTTTGGTTTTTAAATTGACACTTGTTTAATTTTTTTCGTGGTGTGGGGGGGGGGGGGGGGGAGGGGCTACACCATCCTTGATCTCTAGCTGCACCTACCCCAGAATCCGCTTTTGTCAGAGGCGCTGTTGTAGTAACGTCCGCTAGCGCCCCCACACGTCGCCTGGAGACCATTGCTACTGGTACACCCCAGATACGCGTCGGCACTGACGACAATATTGTCAACGCTGAATCTGTGGAGCAACAGAAATCGTTTTGCAAAGAGACTGTCACAAAAAAATCAATCAGAGTACAGACAAGACCATACAAATAGACCTTCATCATGCTGCCACCATCTCAGTCATGTTCCCTGTATTCAATAACAGTACTGAATTATTATTTTTTTCGTGCGAAAAGGAACCAGACTATTTGTCCTTCCAGCCTCGCTTTGGTTAAGTTGATTTGAGTGGGAACAAATCAAGATGGCCGCAACATGATAATGGTCTAGGCCTATAGGCGTTTGCTCTTTGCATTAATGAAATGCTTCACAATGTTTTCGATTATGGCCCGAAAACTTAACGAGACCCATTTTGGACGAAATTTCCATTTTTATTGATTTGATGGTAAGTGGGTATGGGGGGTTGATTATTGGCGTGTGTAAAATAGTATATGTGGACAACATTCCCTCCTATACTGTCCTAGCAAGTGGTGACACTATGGTGGAGTA